CTCTCTCGTTCAGACTCTCTATACAAATCTCAATCTGCTTTACGAGTCTGCCTATGATAGGGCCATTAGCGGGATTTGATGCCACACATTGCTCCATTCACTCACATCGCTGCCAAACGCTCGTGGCTTCGGAGGGAGAGCGGATGTAAATTAGCCCTTCGGGGGTCCTTACATCCAACAGCTCTCTTTAAACTTGGCTACCGATGCCGAACGATAAGGTCAGTCATTTTTAAAACACACACACACACACACACACACACACACACACACACACACACACACACACACACACACACACACACACACAACGCAGGGGTACGAGGCCAAGTAGCGATCGGGCGTGTACATCTCAGATGAGCACGTAGACGTGTTTGACGACATCGGGGTCTTGTTCAAGGGACCCCTCACCATCCCAGTGCGTTACCTGCGCAGTCCGCTGCCCACACAACTCAGCAAACACAGCAACGCTGCAGCCACCACACGAGTGCTTGCATGGCATAGCCTCTGCTGTTGCGTCGTGAAGTCAAACGTCATCTCAGCTTCGCTGACTCACCTTTACCGCCTCCCTCTCCTTCAACACAGCCCACAGAGGCCAAAACGTATGTTGAAGTCAAGGGCAACAAGTACACGAGTGGCAACCAGGTCTTCCGCAAGTACTTTCAGCTCTTTGCCAACGTTCGCCCCGCCAAGACCATGCCGGGTGTACCCGCCCCTTTCAGCAACGTTGATCTCGTCGTCATTCGCGAGGTGTGTGTGTGTGTGTGTGTGTGTGACTGTTGTGTGCTTGTGTGTCTGTGTGCCTGTATGTCTGTGTGTATCTGTGTGTGCGTGTGTGTATGCATGACAGTGTGTGTGTGACTGTTTGTCTTGTCTGTCTGTCTATCTGTTTGTCTGTCTGTCTTGTCGCTGTCTAACTGTGTCGATATGCGTGAGTTTATGGAATCGGTGCAAGTCTTAATTTTTGAGCGGGAGAAGAGGCGTGCAATTGTAGCGCTTGCGCTTATCCTTTGGTGCTTTGCCAATGACACACACACACATGTTCAATTTGCTCGTGCTTATCCACGTTTTTGTCAAGCGTAGAACACCGAGGATGTGTACACGGGCGAGGAGCGGTGGGTCGACGACAACACAGTCATCTGCAACAAGCGCATCACACGCCACGCCTCAGAGGTGAGGGCACATGTCCGTGTCTGTTCCTGTACCCGTCTGTGTGATGTTGTATCTGCGACTGCCTGTGTGTTTCAGCGGCTGCTGTGTGTGTCTGAGGCTGCCGTGGAGCGCCTTGTGTTGTAGAAATGTCGATTCCACCCTAACACATTCCCTCACATTCGCACTTGCTCTTGCTCCCAACATCGGGCACTCGCCCTCGCCATTTCTTACCATCAGCGCATTGCACGCTACGCCATTGAGTTTGCGCAACGTATGGGCCGTCGCCGCGTCACCGCCCTACACAAGGTGCAACTGTTGGTTGGTTGGTTGGTTGGTTGGTTTGTTGTTGTTGTTGTTGTTGTTGTTGTTGTTGTTGTTGTTGTTGTTGTTGTTGTTGTTTTTGTGGCAAGTGTTGCTGCTGTGGGCGAGTGAGAGACGAGCTATGAATGCCCGAAATGAAAACACATGTAGATCGCACAATGCGTGTGTATTTGCATGTTTCCGTGCACCCACCGTCTGCTGTGACTCAGCGACACGCACAACCAACCAGGCAACGCACCCGTACAGCCACGCACTGACCCAGTCACTCACCCATTCACACGAATACCAGGCCAACGTGTGCAAGCAGTCTGATGGCCTTTTCCTCTCGTCCTTCAAGAAGATTGCGAATGAGTTGACAGCCACATCATCAACTACATCATCAACCAAATCACCAACCACATCATCAAACACATCAGCAACCACATCACCAACCACTGCCAGCACGACATCAGCAGCACAGCTGCGGTGCGACGACCACCTGGCCGACAGCTGCCTCACACGCCTCGTGCTTGCCCCGCGCGAGTTTGACGTGCTCTGCTGTCCGAATCTGTACGGCGACCTCGTGTCCGACCTTGCTGGCGGCATGATTGGCTCCCTCGGTCTGTGCCCCTCAGGCAACATTGGCGAGCGCCACGCCCTCTTTGAGCCCGCGCATGGCAGCGCTCCCGATATTGCAGGCAAAGGCATCGGTGCGCCGTTGGCTTGTTTGGCTTGTTTGGTTTGCTTGTCAGTTCGTGTGCTTGTGCTTGCTTGCTTGTGTACTTCTTCGGTGTGTTCGTGTGCTTGTTTGCTTGCTTGGTTTGTTTGGCTGTGTACCTGCGCGTGCATTCGTGATTGCAGCTTTTTTTCCTGGAGCTCACAGCACCAGCACCCAACCAACCACACATTTCCCACACTCCGCTCCCCTTCCCCCACAATCCGTCCTGCCAGCCAACCCTGCGTCGCAGATCCTCTCTGCTGTTCTGATGCTGCAGCACCTTGGCGAGATGGACGCTGCCACTCGCCTCCACGCCGCCCTCAGCGACACATTCAGCGCCGGAACCCTCCCCGTACGCTGCCCTGTTGCCCCTGTTGTTAGCCATGCTGCTGTTTGGTGTGGAGGGTGCTGCTCTTTGGAGCGTGTTGGGTTTGTCCATTTCGTCATCATCGCCCGCCACCAGCGGGAATGACCTCCCTCACACACACACACACACACACACACACACACACACACACACACACACACACACACACACACACACACACACACACACACACACACGCACACACACACACACACACACACATTCACTCCACTCTGTATGCAGGTTGACCTTGGTGGGAACGCCACAACACGTGACATTGTTGACAGCGTTGTGAGCCGTTTGACGGCGTGATACACACGTGGGCAATAGCAGAGCAATAGAGCCGCGTGAATGCCACTGTTGCACCCATCATCACCAGAACAATCTTTCTTACCCCCCCTCCCGCCCTGACGCCTGGTGTCACGGCAAAGGTGGCATGGTGTGTCTGCTGTTGCATGAACGTCTTCGTTGCATCTCGGGTCGGCTTGTTGGGCAGATGTGTACTTGACAGATAAAAGAGGACAGTCATAATCTGTAGCATTTGTTTAGGTTCGACCACCATCACCCACAACCCACTTGCCATCAACATCATTGCCTGGTAGCTGAAACGAAACTGCAGACGCACGATGTCACCTGATGCACAAGTGTGAACATGTGACCAGCCTTCCACTCCAACACACACACACACACACACTCACCACGCTGATTGCTTACGCCGTCTGGTGCACGACTGCCCCATCATGTACCTCTGCACACCCCTCTGCACCCCCCTGCTGCTGCTGCTGCTGCTGCTGCTGCTTTGTGCTCGGCTTGTCCACGACATCAACGGTCCAGGAGCCGTCCTTGGCCACGTGAAATGTGTTGAGCTTGTATTGCCACGGCATGTTTGCGCGCAGCTCGTTGTTCTTGAGGTAGACCTCCTCTCGCCACGGCTCAAGCGGCGACACGCCGGCCAGGCGCGCAAGCTCCCGGTTGTACTCCCACTGGGTGCCACCAAGCACGTGCTCGTGGCGACGTGGTACCGCCAGCCGCCGCCGCTGCTCGCGCGCAGCCGCCACCTCTGCGTGCATTTCCAGCCGGGATGGCAGCGACTTTGCGCCTGCCCACACCGCGTGCACCCACTGGCACTGCAGGTCAAACAGCGGGAAGGGGAGAACTTTCACGGGCAGGCCGATAAAGGTCATGGTCGGGTGTGCAATGTTGAAGACCTGGCGGTACACATTGTCCACAATGCGCCCGTCGTCCACCACCTGCACGCCACAGGATGCCTCGTCAAGAAACGGGAAGGAGAACGCATACCCCGTGCACAGGATGAGCGTGTCTGCGGCGGTGCTGCTGCCGTCCTCAAACACGATGCTTCCGTCTTCTGCAACCGCCTTGATGGGTGGCTTTTCCACGAGTGGCGGCTCGCCAAGCCGGCGCTCCGGGTCGTAGTGGCTCAGCGTGACTGCGTTAGACACGGCGCACAGCTCCTGCGAGATGTCGCGGCCACTCTGCCCGCCGCCAAGGCACACCACCCGCTTGCCTGCAAAGGGCTCTGGCATACGGTACGTGTGGCTGTGCAGAACCTCCCCCTGGAAGCGGTCCAGGCCTGGGATGCTGGGCATGATGGGCTTGGCGTAGTGCCCGTTGCACACGACAACTGCATCGAATGTGAGGTCCTCCGTCTCGCCCGTCTCCAGGCTCTCCACCCGCACCGCCCATGCGCCATCCTTCTCCATGAGTGCTTCGCCGCTCAAGGGCGCACTGTCCGCCTCTTCATCGCCAAGGCTGCTGCCATCACCAGCATCGCGACTGCCATTGCTGCTGCTGCTACTGCTGCTGCTACTGTTGCTGCCCTTGCTGCCCTTGCTGTTGCTGGTGTGGGCGACGCGGACCACTTGCGTCCTGAAGCGGGTGATGGCGTTGATGCCGTAGTGTGCGGCAAAGGCCTCCAGGTACGCCTGCACATCTGTGTGATGGACAAAGGTCTCTTTGCCCTGCGTAAACTCAAACTCCGGGAACGCCATGATCTGCTTGGGGAGGTTGGTGTGCAGGTCGCGGTACATGCTCGAGTGCACGGCGTCGCTCTGGTCCATGGTGAAGTTCCATGTTCCGCCGGCCTTGGAGGAGCGCTCAAACACGACAACATCAAAGGACGCCATCAACCGCCGCGCCGCAGCAAGGCCAGCAGCCCCAGCTCCAATCACCGCAACTCGCCGCATCGTTGCTTTGTTTTGTGGAAGGGAAGACAGACAAAGGATAGACAGTGGGGGGGGGGGTGGACGACGTGGTGTGGCAGCAGCGCGCAGGTCCTTCTTGGCTGCTTTGTTTGTGCGTCGTTGTTTGCTGTCGTTGCTTGGCAAAATGACGAAATTGCGGAATTTTATTTGAAAATTTACACGAAATTACTCGGTCGGGTATCGCTGCGCGAACCAAACACCTTTCTGCAAGCCAAGCATGCAAGCAAGATACAGGTAGTGTTTGTTGTGTGAGAGATGGCATGCTGCACGTGGCCATCGCAGTGTGTGTGTGTATGTGCGTGGGTTGGGGGATGGTCAGGCATACACACAAACGCACACGCATACGCACACACGCGCAGACTCACACGCACAGACGCACACGCACGCACTCACACACTCACACGCACAGACGCACACACGCGCGCGCGCACAACGCACCTTTGGACGACGTGGACGCTTCTTCATACGAGCCATGGCCGCCTTCTTCAGCTGTCGAAAGTGCTGCTGCTCCGCCGGTGACAGGCCGTGCACCTGCCGCCGCATCGCCGCCATCTTTGGATGCTCCTGCACAAGTGCACATATGGCGTGAGGTGTGAGGTGTGAGGTGGTAGGCACGACGATCCCGCACGCCACATTCCCGTGACGTACCGTTGCTGTGCGTGACTGCTTTTCCCGCCGAAGCACTTCAGCTGCAATCTCTTTCGCTGCACACGTGTGTGTGTGTGTGTGTGTGTGTGTGTGTGTGTGTGTGTGTGTGTGTGTGTGTGTGTGTGTGTGTGTGTGTGTGTGAATTGGACAGTTTGTACGCAGACATTGTGCATCGCCAACAAGAACAATGAGCACGGGAAGTGAGGCCTGCAATGCGGGGATGAAGATAGTAATTACAAACAACAATTAAGTGCGCTTACTTGACAGTGGCTTGAGCGAGTCTGCCTGCGCGTTGGCCAACAGGGTGAACTCCTGGTGTCTCGATATCATCAGCTGCCTATTCCCCGCGGGAAGCTGCATGCACGTTTGGAGGAGCGTGCACGCGTGAGTGACTGAGAAACATGTGGACGCGCATCCACACACACACGCACACAAACACAAACACAAACACACATACACACATACACACATACACACACACGCAAGCGTGTGTTACCTCGCACTCTGCCATCAGCTTTCGTAGGTCCTTGTCCTTCATGAATTTGTACACTCCGCGACCCCGCGGCCGTGCTCGCTCCACAGGTGCCCTGTAGTCACACGCATCCATGCATACAGCGTGCTCGTGAGCCTCGTTATGTGCGTGCATGTGCGTGATTATGCGTGCGTGTGCGTATGCGTGTGCATGCAAAATCAGCAGGCACACACACACACACTTTGGCGTACTTTCTATATTGCGCAGCAACTGCAGGATGAATTGCTGGCTTCGACTGCTGCTGCTGCTGTTGCTGCTGTTGCTGCTGTTGCTGCTGCTGCTGCTGCCGCAGAAGCTGAACAGACGGCGGAATTGGCGTGTTTGCACCGGGCCCACTTGTCGAGGCCACGGTTGACGAAACAGCCGTTACGTTTGTATACGTTGCCACTGGCGTCACGCCCGCTGCTGTCTTTCCCGCCATGGATGCACGCATGCAATCCGCACACATACACGGCCCAGTGGCAACAGGTGCCGCAGTCAAATTAGCGGTCATGGTGGGACCAGCGCTGTTGCTGGTGCTGCCGTTCATTGGGAGCGCAACAGCGGCAGATGCAGGAGGGGCGCTGTAGTAACTGTTTGTGACAGCATAGCCTGGTGTTGGTATGGTGGTGGCAACGGCAGCACCACTATTGTAACCGTTGTAGGCGACTGTGCTCATCACTGCGGTGTTGTTGACGTTCGCAGTCACAGGTGCCGTTCCAGCATACGTCCCTGCCACTGGGAGTGGGTTGAGTGCGGTTGTCGTGGAATACACCATGGTGGTGGTGGTGGCGGCGTTGGTGGCAGCTGGGACAGGAGCTGATGAGGGCATTGGTGTAACATGTGTCGCCGTGGTCGTCGTCGTGTTGGGTGCTGGCAGACTGGTGGAGGTGGCACTGTTGGCTGCCACCGTTGAGGTTGCGTCCACAGCAGCCGCACTACCCTTGGCGTGACCACCATCCACAACCACTGCAGGTGCATCGTCATCGTCCACCACAATTGTCATCACTGACCCTTGTGCGAGCCCTTGCTGCTGCTGCTGCTGCTGTTGTTGTTGTTGCTGCTGTTGCTGCTGTTGTTGTGTTTCCCCTGGTATCGTCACTGTTCCTGCAGACGACGGTATCTGCGGTGCTGCTGATAGCACTGCTGCTGCTGGTGGTGATGATGATGATGATGATGATGATGGTGTCGTCATTGTCGTCATTGTCGGCATTACATCGCTCGTGCGCCGCTGTCGCGCTGCCGCTGCCCGCGTCCGCACACCACCGGACCCTCCTTGTTGTTGTTGTTGTTGTTGTTGTTGTTGTTGTTGTTGTTGTTGTTGTTGTTGTTGTTGTTGTTGTTGTTGTTGTTGTTGTTGTTGTTGTTGTTGTTGTTGTTGTTGTTGTTGTTGTTGTTGTTGTTGTTGTTGTTGTGTGCTAATGTTAGTAGCAGTAGCAACAGCAGCAGCTGCAGCAGGAGTGGTGGCAGCAGGTGAATTTGCGTTCTGTGAACTGCCGGCAGAAGACGTGGACGCACGCGAGCGCTTGTCCTTCGTCCCCTTTGACAGACACGCGTCAAGGTGCGCATTGATGTGCTTGATCGGCACCGCGCTGCCGCAGACAGGGCACACGCCCATACGGCCGCCTTTGTTCGCCACCGCTGTCGCCTGCTTCGATGATGACACCGATGGCAATGCCACGGCGGAGCTGCCGTTGACGTGTTGTAGCGTTGGCTGATTCGTCCCACCACTGCCACCACCACCACTGGTGCCACTGCCACCACTGATGCTCTTTCGCCCCTTTCGCCGCCGCGACCGCCGTGTTGCTGACGATGATGACGGTGACGCAAACACAGCTTCATCCTCCCTCACGCCCTTTGCTCGCTTTGCTGCCATCTCTCCTGGTTGCGCCACTGCCAGCGGTGTTGCTGGCGTGGGAACTGCTGCTGGTGTCGCTGCCGCTGCTGCTGTGCGCCTGCGTGTGCTGCGTGTCTGCCGACCGTGGCCACTTGCGACATATGGCGATGCTGACGATGCTGGTGCAGGTGTGGATGCGACGGCGGCAGGCGTAGATGGTGTTGCGGCACTTGCTGCCGCGGACACACTCATCGGCGACCCCACAGCTGTGCCGGCGGTGAACGCTGCTGCTGCTGCTGTCGGCAGTGTTCCAGACTGAAGCAGTGCAGGGATTCTACCGCGAAAGAGAGAGTGCGTGTGTATGTGTGTATGAGGGAGTGAGCATGTGCGTATGTGTGAGAGTGTGAGAGTGTGAGTGTGTGTGTGACGGCTACGTGTTGAGTAAGTGAGGTTTGAGAGGAACGAACACTGAGGTATTTACGCTTCATATCAAACTCGCTGTGCAACTCTCAAATCTGGTCGCACACGATAGCGAGGAAGTGCACACCTGGACTGCCGGTAGGCGTCGAGCATGTGCGTCAAGATGTGATTGGGAATCAGGTCTGTGGGACAGCAATCCTGTCCCATTGCCATGGAGAGATTGAGAAACCACAGCGTGAGGGGAATGCACACGGCAAGAAAAGAATCCCTGCTGTTTGAACCACACGTTCGAGAACATCACATGCAGACACACACTCACGCACACACACGCACACGCGCGCGCACGCACACGCGCACACACGCACACGCGCACACACGCACGTGACAGGTTCACAGCCACAAGTATGCCATGCATCTACAACGTTTGCAACTGACGCGTTCGCATGTTGGACACTGCGATGTGAAGCTGATCCTCTGCTTCTGATAGCCAAGGTGCCGGCGAATGCACTCGGAGCAGACTGCAACAAACACACAGGAGGCGTGTATTTGTGCAATGTGCGAGTGTGTGTGTGGATGTGTTTGTGTGTGTTTATGTGTGTGTGGGGGGGTGTGTGTGCATGTGTGTGTGTGTGTGTGTGTGTGTGTGTGTGTGTGGGTGTGTGTGTGTGGGTGTGGTGGACAAGCACACGGGCGTAAACGTGAACCGATGTAAGGAAATATCCGGCTGGGCACATAACATACAGTTGTGGTTGCACGTCTTGATCAACACAGGAGCCGTGAAGTAATCCTGGCATATTTGGCATCGAAACCAAGAGTCCAAGATCTGCAGCGCAGCGACGAAGAGGAAAGGTATGTGTGTGTGTGTGTGAATGTGAATGTGAATGTGTGTGTGTGTTTGCGTGTGTGTGTGTGTGTGTGTGAAGAGGAAGGAAGAGAGCGAGAGGGGCAACAGGAAAGGACCGCCCTCCCTTGCTTGCAGGAGGAATTCATGCACACACACACACACAACACACACACACACACACACACACACACACACACACACACACACACACACACACACACACACACACACACACACACACACACACACACACACACACACACACACACACACACGAGCACCCACTGCATCCCACGCTGCTCTGCTCAAACCTTGGCGCCATTTTCATCCATCGTGGTGGTTAGATGTAGGACATATGTCCTAAAAATAGGCACGGTTACTTTGCCGGCCATCTGACAGGACGAAACAACAACAGAAAGGTTTGATGTGAAATGAGAGGAGCGCTGGCTGGTGGTGGGACCTACCCACATCGTGTGCTGATGCTGGCAGTGGCCTGCGAGGCAAGGGGGGAGTGGTGGGATGGGTGAAGTAGGTCGCCTACGTGAGAGTTGTGTTGTCAGTTTTGGGCCTTGCGTGTGTTTTCTCGCGTTCATTCACGCTGTGTGTGACTCATGTACCACCATCCATCATCGTCATCGTCCACATCGTCGCCGCTCGCGCAGCAGATACCTGGAAAGTCTCACGTGCGTCAAACCACTCCCAGAAGTTCCACAGCAAAGGAGGACTTGAGTCGACCAACCCCAAGCAATGAGTATGAATGGGCCCTGCAGTCACCTGCAGCTGCATGTCCAATGCAGCAAGCTGCCGCGCAAGGACACGCTCTCAAAATCAGACCCATTTGTGGTCATCTACACCTTTGATGAACGCAACAACGCCTTTGTTGAGGTCAGCACACGTGGTCTTGCATACGGTTGTGTGCGCGTGCGAGTTGCATGTGCGTTTGTGCGCGTGCGGGTTGCATGTGCTTTTGGGCGCTCACTTGCGCCTTCTTTGTCTCAGACAACCGCTCCGCTGTGCCACTGTGCCATGTGGCTGAAGCGTCGTGCGAACCTCCCTTCTCACATGCGATAACTGACACTGCCCACAACTCGACTTGGATACCCTTGATTTCCAACCCCATCGATCAACACAGTACGGCCGCACAGAGACGCTCTCCAACAACCACAACCCAGACTTTGCGACGGGCTTTGATCTCTCCTACTTCTTCGAAACCACACAGAAACTTCGCTTTGATGTGTAAGTGAAGTGACCCTGGCACTTATGTAGCAGAGTTTTATGGTGCTCTGTGGCTGCTACTCTGCTCGTGGTTAGTGGTTTGTTGCCCTTTGATAATCGCCCTCCACTCACACCTTCCGCGCGCATGCGCACACTGTAGGTACGATGAGGACACGAAAGGCGGCAGTTTGCAGGCGCAAGACTTCATTGGGCGCATCGACACAACCCTCGGCAGCATTATGGGCGAATACCACGGCCGTCTCACTGCGGTGAGTGAGAAAGTGTGAGAGCGAAAGAGAGTGAGAGAGTGAGCGAAAGAGAACGAGAGAGTGAGCGAAAGAGAACGAGAGAGTGAGAGAGTGTGTGTGTGTGTGCCCGTGTCTGTGTATCCGTGTCTGTGTGTTCGTCGGCTGTCGCCTTCGTTGTAAGCGCATGCTTCCATGCAAACCTCCGTGAACACGGTATTGCTGACCGCCAACCCCCCCCCCCCGGGCCGCGCGTGCAGCCGCTACTCAGCAAATCGGGAAAGAAGACAAAGGGCGTCATCACGGTGTTGGCTGAGGAGGCCGCGAAGAGCGCTGGTGTTGTCAAGTTTCGCATGCGCGCCACAAAGGTCGACAAGAAGGACCTCTTTGGTGCGTACGCGCTGTCTGCGTGCGTGTGTGTATCTGCCTGTCTGGCTGTGTGTGTGTGTGTGTGTGTGTGTGTGTGTGTGTGTGTGTGTGTGTGTGTGTGTGTGTGTGTGTGTGTGTGTGTCTTGCCGTGCCCATAAACCGCCGGTCCACACGGCGTTCATCATTTTGACGCTCATCTAACGCTTTCCCCCTTTGCCCTCTCGCAACACGCACACACTTACACATGTTCAAAATGCGCGTGTGCCTCCAGGCAAATCCGACCCGTATGTTGTCATCTCCAGGAATCTCAGCGGCTCCTGGGCAACCGTCCACAAGACAGAGGTGCATATTGCATGTCGATGGCTGCCCACGTGTATCAGTGTTCGTGACAAGGGAAAGTTCACACACACACACACGCACACACACCATCCACATCCACCATGAACTCCACCCCCCTCTGCTGCCATGTGTGTGTGTTTGCGGTGTGCAGGTGGTGCGCAACACGCTGAACCCCCTGTGGGCGCCGTTCGAGGTTGATCTCACGCGCCTGTGCAACGGAAACCCGGAGACAGCCCTCAAGGTACGACCAAGTGGATTGGAGAGGGGGAGTTGGAGGATTTGGGGCGAGTGGGGGTTGGAGGATGATTGGTGACGGGTGCTTTGGAGCGAGGGGTGTTTGCGATGGACATTGGGAAAGGGAAACGAAGTCACGGTGCCGGGCTGGCTGCTGGGCTGGCAGGAGGGCATGTGTTTGTTCTCGTGCCCGTGTTCATATCGACACGGTCAGAGGTGCGTCGTAACAATCCTTTGGGTGCACGAGTGCATTTCATGCTTACGCGTGTGATGTGCTTGCTGTGCTATTGCTGCCATCAGTTTGAGGTGTTCGACTGGGACCGTGTTGGATCTCACGACTTCATCGGCAGCTTCGAGACCACGCTCGCCGCAATTCAGGCAGACCCACACGCTGAGCACCCGGTACAATGCCACGCACGTGGGGGGGGGATGACTGTCTATGCCCGTGTGTGTGTGTGTGTGTGTGTGTGTGTGTGTGTGTGTGTGTGTGTGTGTGTGGATGTGTGTGGGGTCTGCCTGTCTGTCTGTGTATGTGTGTCATGGGGACACAAAGGCGTTGCTGATCTTATTGTTGTGATTGCACGCGCACCATTCCATGTCTCACCCATCCACCACCACCAACTGCCGTCATCAGCTCATCAATCTGACAAAGAAGGCGAAGAAGCGGAGCTACCGCAACTCTGGCGTCGTCGCCTTTGACGAGTGCACCACCGAACTCAGGCCCTCGTTCGTCGGTACGCCCCTGCTCTGTGTTGTGTGTGTGTGTGTGTGTGTGTGTGTGTGTGTGTGTGTGTGTGTGTGTGTGTGTGTGTGTGTGTGTGTGTGTGTGTGTGTCTTGTCTGTTTGTCTCTGTTACCCCTGTACATTCCTGCTTGTTCCAGCAAGTGCTCACCCATTCCCCCTCCCCTAATACGTGACGCCAGATTATCTCCTCGGCGGTCTCCAGCTTAGCTGTTCCTTCGCCGTCGACTTCACCGCTTCAAATGGTCCGCGCACCTCATGATGAGGATGGTGGTGGTGGTGTTCCTGTGTGGCTGGTTCTCGTCGCTCCTTGCACTACAGAAGCAAGACGGCGAACAATGTGTTCGTGTGACAACATCTCTCACCTTTTGTCATCACCATCACCACTGCAACCGTGGTAACAGGCCGGCAGGACATGCCGTCGTCACTGCACTTCAACTCGCCCGCACAGCGGAGTGCATATGCAACCGCAATCGAGGCTGTCGGTAACATCATCCAGGACTACGACAGGTGCAGTGATGTGGTGGCTCCTGGCTCGTGGTCGTGCCGGTGCACGTGTGCGCATTCATGTCACATCAGTTCCATCATCCAACCTTGAGCAGTACCATTAGACGAACGTGCAGACACCCACACCCACGCACTCGCACGCGCACCCGCACCCACACCCACACCCACACCCACACTGACTCTCACACACACCCGCACCCACACCCACACACACACCCACACTCACTCACACACACTCACTCACTCACACGCACTCACGCACACACTCGCTCTGTCTTGCCTCCTCGTCGATGATTGCAGCGACAAGCTGTTCCCTGCGTTTGGGTTTGGCTGCCGCCTCCCTGGGCAAAACGTGACATTCCAGCTGCCGCTCAACGGCCACTACGAGAACCCCATGTGCAACGGTGTGCAGGGCGTGCTTGGCGCGTACTACTCCACCCTCCAGCGCGTGGAGCTCTGGGGACCAACAAACTTTGCCCCCATCATCAACATCACGGCAGAGTACGTGTGTTTGGGGGGGGCGGGGTTGAAAGAGAGAGAGTGTGTGTGTGTGTGAGTGTGTGTGTGTGTGTGAGTAAGTGAGAAAGAAGGAGTAAGTGCGTGCGTGTGAGCGAGAAAGAATGAGTGTGGGTGAGAAGGAGTGAGAGCGTGTGGGTATGTGAGCGCATGCATCTGCCTACATCTGCCTGCGTCTACCTGCCTGTATGTCTGCCCGCCTGTTGTTGTGCAGGTCTTTCTCACGTCCCATCCCCCTTCTTCGCCCATCCCCCAACGCATCATCCTGTACGACCACCGCAGCATCGCTGGCCGGCACCACGCTGCGTTTATGGGCGGGCGCGCCGCCCCGACCTACTTTATCCTCATCATCATCACAGACGGCGTCATCTCAGATATGGCAGACACCATGGATGCCGTCGTCAAGGTCTGTGTGTGGGTACATGTGTTTGTGTGTGTGTGTGTGTGTGTGTGTGTCTGTCTGTCTGTCTGTCTGTGTGTGTGTGTGTGTGTGTGTGTGTCTGTCTGTCTGTCTGTCTGTCTGTCTGTGTGTGCGTCCGCCTGTAGCACTCAAGCCTCTTGTGCCCTTCCCCTCTCCATTGTATTCTTTCACCGCCGCCACTGCAGGCATCGCATCTGCCGATGTCGATTGTGATCATCGGGGTTGGCGACGCGGACTTCAGCGCCATGCACGCGCTTGACAGCGACGACGCGCTGCTCGAGTCAAAGGGCGTCAGGGCCGAGCGCGATATTGTCCAGTTTGTCCCAATCAAGTCAGCTGCACCCGCCATTGCGCTTGTTTGCCTTGTCTTGTTTGGTTTGGTTTGCTTTGGTTTGGGTCATTGTGTGTGGGTGGGTTGGTGTACGTGAGAGGGGGGGGGGGGGGCGTGTCGCCGAGTTGTCACATCACAACAATACCCCTGCTTGCCGTTCCCTTGAGCGCCGCTGCCACCCCTTTCTTCCTGAACAGCTTTGCTCCTGTTCCCATCTCACCGTCACACGCGCCACCACCACGGCACCACCACACCTCACCCATTACCCACCCCAGCCAATTCATGTCGGGCCGCGCGGTGTCTGGTGCGGCGTTGGCGCGCGCCGTCCTGGCGGAGATACCCGGCCAAGTCTTGCAGTACTGCCGCAAACACAACCTCCCTGCAGGCCCACGGCTGCCGCCCGCACAACCGGCAATGGCGATGGGGTCAGCTCCGGCGCAACTGCAGGGCCAGGCCTCGGCGCCCCCGCCATACTCCGTCTAGCCGTTAGAGGTTGCTGGTTGCTTGCTTGACTCGCTTGCGTTGCTGGCTTGACTCGCTTGAGCTGAGCCGAGTTTCTTGCTTGGTGTCCGTATCTGTGTCTGTGCTTTTGTCTTTGTCTTTGTCTTTGTCTTTGGAGCTGCTCGCTTGCACACCAGGCGCTGTTCCCCGATGTGTAGTTGCACCGCTACCATCCATGCCTTCAGATTGATTCGCTGGTTTCATACGTATGATGAACGAACCCCTCCCCACCTCTTTGGTTTTTTTTCTGTGTGTGTGTGTGTGTGTGTGTGTGTGTGTGTTGTGCATGCGTGTGTGCGTATGTCTATGTCTGTGTGTGTGTGTGTGTGCACACACACACACACACACACACACACACACACACACACACACACACACACACACACACACACACACACACACACACACACACACACACACACACACACACACACACACACACACACACACGCACCAAAAAACCTTCAGGTACTATGCGTGTGGCGGGCTTGGCCTGTGGCTGCTGGACCGGTGCATTCGCATTGTGCGCCGCTGCGACCCCGTCACCATCAGCAGCGTCACCGTCAACAAGGAGGCCGGTGTCACCGTGCTGCAGCTCGCAAAGGCAAACTTCACCTTCTATGCTGGCCAGTACATCTGGCTCAACGTCCCCTGCATCTCCCACATGGAGTGGTCAGTCGACTGCTGTTGCTGTTGTTCTTCATGCTCGAGTTTCTTGTTGTTGTTGTTCGTGTGTCTTGTTTCTTGTGGTTGCTCTCGAACCACTGCACATTACCCGCCCTTCTCACCAACAACCACAAACACACGCACGCACACACAACACACATAACACACACACGCGCAACCAACACGTGCAGGCATCCGTTTACGGTGAGCTCACCACCGTCTGCAGACAAGCTGACGCTGCATGTCAAGAACATGGGCCCCAACACGTTCACGGCCAAGCTGATGTGGGTGACAGACACGTACCCGCTGGAGGCCATCAAGCTGCGTGTCGACGGCCCATACGGGCGCCCGCTCTACTTTGACGAGGTCGAGAACCTCATTCTCGTTGCTGGCGGTATTGGCGTCACCCCGATGCACTCCATCCTCATGGAGATTTACAACCGCGCGCGGGCTGGCATGGACGTTGGCCGCATCAAGACAGTGACGCTGGTGTGGGCGGTGCGACAGGCGGAGCTGCTGCACATGTTCAACGACATGCAGGAGGTTGCCCGCGACAACTTTGTGCAGGTCAAATTCGACTTCTCGTTCCACATCACGGGCGCTGCCTCGTACGCATCGCTCGGTCCTTCCAGCCGCCCTGGCGAGCACGAGCTTGTGGACGTGGTGTCGTCGTTTGCCAAGGCGGGCCGTCCAGACCTGATGACGGTTGGCGGCGGGTTCAGCACGGGCCGAAACACGATGGTCATGGTGTGTGGACCCGAGCAGATGATCACCGCAGCAAGCGACATGGCGGCGTACTACGACTTTGCCTTCCACCACGAAGTGTTCACCTTCTAAAAGGCATTCGGCGCTGTGCCTGTCTGTCTGTCTGTCTGTCTGTCTGTCTGCTTGCCTGTCTGTGTATGTGTATGTGTCTGTGTGACGTGTGTTCATTGTGGCCTTGTTTGCGCGACTGCTGTGAATCGAGATTGCATCTTCATCGTGTATCGTGCTGTTGCAACTTCGAGGGCCTCCTTACGCGGAGTTTTCTTCGTGACACCCCTTCCCACCACCTCCTCTTCATTTCATGCGACTGTGTCAACCTCAAACGTGCCCATCTCTTTCTTATTCACCAGCACAAGTGTGTATGTGTGTGTGTGTTCTGTGTTCCTTTCTTGGTTTGTGTTTTGCGACTTAGCTTGAAGTCAACTTCCACTTGCATCAATCAAATGAAAGGGTGTTTACTTGATTGCTCCCTTGCTCATGGTGACATGAGAATGTGAAGGGTATATGCACATGGCTGGTCACAGAATGGTCACGAAGATGCACACACAAACACACACACACACACACACACACATTCCGTGCCCTGCAATCATTTGCCAAACAAAGCGGAGAGGAAGTGAACCGCCTTGGTGGTAAAAGGAACGTCTGCGGCGCTGTTGGCCTGCGGTGGTTGCGGTGCGTTGAAGACACGAGCCCCACCACCATTGCTGCCGTCGTTGCTGCTGCTGCTGCTGTTGGCGTTGTTGGGCGTGACGCCAAGGCGGGATGCGGGTGTCTCGGGCCCGCCCAGTATGGGCCGTGCTGGCTGGGCCCCGCCCGATGTCAGCACTGATGTTGTTGAGCGCTGCTGTCCGTCCTCATCCACCCACGTGCGCGTCTCCTCCGTCACGGTTTCGCCGTTGACGGTCCGCGTCTCTTTGCGAATCGTTTCCCGCCCATTCTGAACCACACTCACAAACGTGCTTGACGAGGACACCGCCGGGGACATGCCCCCAACCGAGTCCAGCGTGCGCGGTTCGTGGCCTTGGCCTAACATTTGCTCCAGCAGCGAAGGTCCAAATGGAAAGAATGACGGCGGTGGTGGCTGCAGCCGCTGATCACCGTGGCGTGCAGCATCGAAAATGGAAGGGATGGAAGACGGCTCATTTGCGCCACCAACATTGCCACTGCTGCTGCCAACCAGTGTGCCTGTAGTTGCGGTGTGGTTTCCCCCTTGTGGACGCAGCAGCCTGTCTCGTGGACTTGTGCCGCTGCCGCTTCGTGGTATTCTTGTGGCATCATCGCTGCTGTCGAGAATGTGGAAGCGCGCGCTGCTCTCGTCATCATCATCATCATCAATGCCCATCATCCCAAGTCCGCCTTGCCCGCCAGCGAGGCCAACGTTCATGCTGCCCATCATCTCAGCCATCATGGCGTCCAGCACCGTGAACATATCCATCCCTCTTCCGTCATCCCCGCCACGACCAAAGTTGGAGCCATCAACACCTCCGTCTCCACCAAACCCAAACCCATCATCTCGTCGGTCGTTCATCTTCGTTGCCGCTGGCAAGTCGTGGAAAGTTCGGAAATTTGTTTAAAATACGGGTAACTTTTCGGCAGACCGCAAGCGACACAGCGAAACAAAAAAGCAAGGTCGCTTCTCGCTCCCTGCTCAGGCCTGCTTGTGACCAGCTTCCTTGCTCTCCTTTTCTTCCTCCTCTTCTTCCTCCTGTTCCTGCTTCTGGTCTTCTGTGTGTTGCTTGTCTGTTGCTGTGGTTGCTTCGTCGGTTAGTTGTTTTGCCGCCTTGTCGTCTACCTGGCTCTGTTGCTGTTTCCGCTGATCACTGCTGGTACCACCATCACCGCCATCCTCACCATCACCATCATCACCACCTCCACCATCGTCACTGCGCTTCGCTTCCCCGTTTGTCGCTTGCGATACGTCAGCTGAGGACGTTTTCCTGCCAAACCGCCGCTTCAACCTGGACTTCATCCCGCCCATCACCTTCCGCACCTTCTTTCCCTTCGACTGCTGCGCAAGCTTTGCCTGCAACGATGAGCAAGCGATCAACGCAAGAGTGCATGCGTGAGGGTACATGCGTGAGCCAAAGGGGTGGTGGCTGGATGCAACAAGCAGCAAAGCAAGAGTTACGAAGCCGAACAAACACCACAAGCAGAAACCAGGAAACCGGCAGAGAAAAGGCAAACACAACACACATACACACAACACGCAGACACACACACACACACAAAACACACTCACGCACAACACACGCACGCCACCTTGCGTGCAGCCTCGAAGATGCGTTTGGCAGCATCCCTCTGTTCTGCTTTCCAGCACTCCTCGTATCCGGCGACAAACGAGGCCCATATGTCGAAAAAGTCGGCAGGCGTGATGGCGCCATTCTCGCCTGTGCCCTTTTCCTTCTTGCCGTACTTGAAAAACTGGAACAGAGACACGCAAACAGACAAGGCGCACGGATAAACCGACGCATATTCAGGGTCATGTGTGCGTCAGGAAGCAGCGCAGAAGAGCAAAACAGCGTGTTGACACAACCCGCACGCACGCGTGGCGAATGCACTAGACCGTGAACATGGGGTGCCACCCCCGGCCCTGCCCCGTGCGCAGCCAGTGTGTGAATACCTTGAGCACATTGGTAAAGAGGTCCTGACACGCTGCCAGCTGCTTCTGCAAGTCATGTACCGTGGCGGTGCTGGTGGCGACAAACGCTTCCATTTCGTTCTTGAAGGGCTGCACAATGTCTTCGTTGTCGGTGCTTGCCACCACCTTATCCACGCGCCGCGAGCACGTCTTCACGCCAACCTCAATCTTCTTCACGTCCGAGCTGATATCTTCGAAGCGGATTTGAGCCGCGCTGTGGAGAGGCCGTGATGGGGGGGAGGTGGTTGTAACGTGCAGTGTGAGGGGTGAGCGGAACGATGATTGGCTGAGTGGGTGGGTGCAGACACAAGGCACAGAGTACAAACGGACTCGCGCACACAGCAACCCAAAACTTCACACACACACACACACACAACTGTGTATGCGAACCTCTGGAGGAGGGCTGGCTTGGGCAGTGGAAACTCTGCCTCGTCTGTGCCGGCTGTCGGGTCATCACGCGTTAATGTGTGCGCTGGTGGTGGTGGGGGGGGGGGGGGGGGGGCAGGGGAAACAGTGGCATTGGTTACGGTGCGGGATGTGAAGTGATGTGATGGTGGCGAAGGTGGGGAAGCGGTGGTGCTGGTGCTGATGGGGATGGGAAGAAAAGGGACAGGCGAGCGCGCTGGAGCACAAATGAAACGTGGTGATTGATTGGTGTGCAACTGGGGGGGGGGGGTTCACATGCACGCATTCACGCGGGTGTAGATGAACACAAAACCGCGCACCCAAGAAGGCCAGAAGCGTGGATGAGTTGTCCTGTGTCATGGTCAGCCGATACAGAGTGTAAGTATCAACCAATGCACATGAAAGCCGTTATACCACGGTTTACCACACAAGCAGCACCACGCGACAACGAGAAACAGCAACACATTGGTCACAACCACTTTTCAAGATCACAACCATCACCCATTCACCACACTATCATCGTCACCACCTGTGTTTTGACATCGCGAAGCTTTGCCAAAATCACGAGAGAAAATCCGTCCGCTTGTCCGCGTCGCGTGCTGCCGTTCATGTAGTTTCCAAACGCGAGCACGTGTGCCAGCACCGTCTGCACAAACGCATTCTCACGCAATGCAATGCAGCTCTTGCGTACGGCATCAATGCGCTCCTGAACAGTGAACACATTCTCCTCAAACGTCGACTTGAACGTCCAGCATTGCACACGCAGATCAAAGTTGGAGATCTTGTTCAGCTCCCACAGAAACGCGTCCGGTTTTGCAAGCGGCACCTGCAGTCACCATGTGTTGTGTGTGTGTGTGTGTGTGTGTGTGTGTGTGTGTGTGTGTGTGTGTGTGTGTGTGTGTGTGTAGATGGATGGGAATCAGTGGTTGTTCGGCGTCACCACCATCGTCGTTGTTGGTTGTGTATGTGTGTGTGCATCGTGTGCGTGCATGTCGGCAAGCAGTACCAAACACACCTTCTTTGCCTTTTCGCTGTCGAGGTGCATGGACATCAGGTCCAGTTCCTCCTGTGTCGCCCTGTTCATGTGCAGCGCTTTCACCTTCTCCAGCGAATAGACACTCTCATCCATCGTGTAAACCGCTTGCTCAAGCTTGTCCATGTCTGTATGGGAGGTGACAACCCCATTGTGAGTGCATTTGAGAGCAGAAACGGAGAACAAAAGTTGGCGTAAACCTGAACGTAATGGCACGCACACACGCACAAGCGCGCGCAAACGTGCACACATCGACACGCACATGTGTAAACAACTACCATACACACGCACAAACAAACAAACAAACGCACAAACAAACAAGCACATGCACCCACGCACCGATCTTGATCGATCCCATGAGAATGCCAACGGCCTGCGCGCGCTTTCCGTCCAGCGCCGAAAACGACTCCGCCTTCTTCTCTTTCTTCTTTCCATTCTCTTCTGCCGCTTTGTCCTTCTTCTTCACCACCTGCAGTGGGGCACGTCGCAAAATAGGGTGCGATCATGTGTGTGTATGTGTGTGTGTGGGGGGGGGGGCGAAGTGCGTTGGCTGGGGAAGTGAAGCCGCTGTCAAAATCAAACGAAAGTGTACATCGCATCCTATGTCATCTACACCACACCACCCACCACAACAACCTCTCACTTGCGCACCTTCTGTGCAAATGCGTCCTCAAACGCTTTCGTGTCCAATTCCGCTTCCTTCAGCGTCGCCCACACAGATACGTCGTCCTCGTCATCATCATCGTCCTTGTTGTTATTGCCGTCGTCGTCAGCATTATCGCCGCCTTCATCGTCACTGGCGCTCTTGCTGTTGTCGTCACTGTCCTCATTGCTCTTTCTCTTCTTCCTTTCCTCTCGCTTCTTCTTTGCTTCTTCCACCTGCATGCACACGCACATGCACACACGCAAACGCGAACGCGACCAAGTGAGCGACAGCCCAACAACAGGGACAACGGCGCAGACGCGCAGCGAGAGACAGCGCACCATGCGTGTCAGCAACGCACACAGCACACAACTTGACAGCCTCTCGGTTCCCCAGCATGACAACGCCAACACTCCCACATCACATCACAGCACAGCAGCAGCAGCAGCACAAGTCACGAAGCACGAAGTACCAGTCACGGCACCTTCTCAGCGTGTGCAATCTCGTCGGGCGTGAGCGTGATTTTCTCCCAGAAGAGCGGCTTCATCTTCGCTGTTGGTTTCACCACTGGTTTCCGCGGGCCTTTGAAAACACACACACACGCGCGCGCGCGCGCGCGCAATCGAAACAGCGATTGGCAGCGTGAGCTGACCATGAGAGCAGAAGCATCGCACAACATCAAACAAGGTGCGTGTGTGTGTGTGTGTGTGTGTGTGTGTGAATGCAACAACCAGCACAGCACGTGCAAGCGAAAAAAGCAGCCCACCTTGCGGCACAACAGGCATCATCATCGGTGGTGGTGGCGGCCCTCCTGTGCCCGGTGGCGGTGGTGGTGGTGGTGGAATGCCTGATCCCGGCGGTGGTGGTGGTGGAGGAATGCCTGACCCTGGTGGAGGTGGTGGTGGTGGAGGAATGCCTGATCCTGGTGGCGGTGGAGGAGGAGGAGGGGGAATGCCTGATGCTGGTGGTGGCGGTGGAGGAGGAGGAGGAGGGGGTGGTGCACCAACACCTGGAGGCGGTGGTGGCGGTGGTGGCGGTGGCGGTGGTGGTGCTTGTGTCACTTCATGACTTGCACTGGCGGCCCCTTTGGCCTCCAGCTGTTTCTGTAACTCCTCAATCTTTCGCTTCAACTTCTCGTTCTCCTCCTTTAACGCTGCTGCGGCCCCACCGGCACCAACATCAGCGCTCATGCTCGCTGTTGCTGCTGCTGTTGTGGTATCTGTGCCAACCGCCGCACCAGCTGTCGGCGACAACGGCTGTGCTTGCGGCGACTTCGCATGCGACGATGAAGACAACAGCGCCCCATCCTTCATGTCTTCCTTCAGCTGTGGTGGTGGAGGTACTTGCTGTTGTCCTGTTGTGGTTACTGTTGCTGCTACTGCTGCTGCTGCTGCTGCTGATGCTGGCCTGTGCTGTGTGCGAGTGTGTGGGGATGGTGAGCGAGGCGGGCTCGTGGTTACCGTCACCGTCACTTCTTCCTCCAATTCCTTTCCATCCGCACCAACCACCCGCTTGCGCTGCTTTTGCTTCCGCTGTTTCCTCTGCTCCGCCTCCTCCCCTTCGCCTTGCTCGTGCTGCTGCTGCTGCTGCCGCTCGGGCATGTTAAACGAAACGTCAATCCCATGCAGGAAAATGCCGTGGACAAAACGTCCGGTGAAGCGAGGATAGCGGCGCCTGGCTCGAATGACCAACACATTCGCCGCCTTGAGAAAGGGTACAAGCTGCTCTGCCTTCAGTTTGGGCAGCGCCATGCGCGTGCGCGCGTCCAGACGCGTTTCGCACGCGGACGAGTCTGCATACGCACACAGCGCCTTGATAAACGGCTTCTCGCGCACGTAAATGCCCTCGTCAAACACAACCTCTGCTGTCCCCATGTACTCGCGAAGCAACGCAACCGTTGCGTCGGGCACACGCCGCACACCCTTTGGCTTCACCAGTGCCACCACTTCCTCACGGTGTGTTGTGTCGGCGCCTGCTGCCATCGTCGTGCCGAGCGCTGCTGGCTCGTCTCCTTCATGCTGCTGCTGTTGCTGCTGCTGCTGTTCTGCTGCTGCCACAGGCGCCGCTGTCGCTGGGTGTTGAGATGCGTTTGCCGTGGCACTCTGCACACCATCGACAGACCCCATGACTTGCTTCACCAACGTCGTCACCTTCAAGGGCTGCTGTCCTTCATCACCGGTTTCGGCGCCATCCAATGCAGCAAGCGGCACGGCAGCAACCCCAGCCTCTTCATGCTGCTCTGTTGGCTCAACTTGACCTGCTGGCACGGCTTGTTCCGGTTGTTGTGCTTGCTCTGCTGATTGGTGTTGCTTGAGCTGGTCGCCGGCTTTCTGCTGATTCCGGTCACTTTGGTCGCCTTTGTTCACAGCACTTGCGGGAACTGCTGCCACCGCCCGCTCACTCTCATCGGCGGCGCCAGTCTCTGTTCGCCCGTCCACGTCCACATGTTCTTCTTCCACCAGCGCCGCCTCGCGCGGCTCCATATCGAACTCCACACCTCGGCTGCCCTCCTCCTTGCCCTCTTTCTCTTCTTCCCCTGCTGCCGCCATCATCATCAGCATGAGGTCGATTGCGTCATGGCTGAGCTGCTGCACAACACGCGGCACCGCCATCTCAGCTACGGCATCTGCCATCGCCTCCTCCACGACGGTGCTTGCCACAGCGTCAATGCACAGCATGGTGGGGTCACTTGCTGCAAGCAGGTCGCTCGCGGCCTCTGTGATGCTTGTCACCGCGCCCTGCACCCACGCTGTCAGCAACACCTCCTCCACACCGGAAACACACGCCGTACACGCCACGTCTGCCGCAATGTCCGGTATTGTGATTGGTGGAGATGACTGCCAGCGCATGTATGCCAGCGAGGCCTCAGCCAGCGCGTCCACAACACCCGTTGCTGATTGCGTCATGACCAGGTCCTCCGCTGCTGATGTCAGCTCGGACAACACGTCCACCACACACTGCGGCACGCCCACATCATCAGCGGAGGCAAGGGCAAACCTGCCGTGTGCTCTGGGCAGCTGTGTCGCCACCGGCAGGGCGTGGCGTGCTGCTGGCGCGGTTGTGATTTCGGAGAACTTCACGGGAAATGTTCGACACGGTGAACACACACGCAGCACGGAGGCATGAGCGCGCAACAATTGGACACACGTGCTCTTGCACTGCTGCTGATGGCGTGATGTGGAAACCAGAGGCAAGGCGGTGCTTGCTGCCACACGCGGATGCGACTGCAACAGCGCATGCACCTGACTCTTCTCCTGTTCCGGCTCTTGGTGTTGCTGCTGTTGGTGCTGCTGCTGTTGCTCTTGCTCTTGCTCTTGCTCTTGCTCTTGCTCTTGTTGCTTACGCCCCGGCTGGTTCTCATGGTGATCCCAAACGCTGGCATCCACGGCCGTCACGTCAACATGTTCGCTATCCGCTTGCTCGCCATCGCTCTCAACACCACCATCGCTCTCAAGTCCGTCCAAACGAAACAGCGCAAAAGACAGCATCAGCACGGACCAGTGCACGCGCAGCAATCCCCGCGTATTGGCTGACAGCACGCCCGAGCGTGTCGATTTGGTTGCTGGCTCAAGTTGCTGAGGCTGGCCACGATGCTGCTCGTGTTGCTGCTGCGCCTTCTGCTGGTGTGGCTTCACTTGCTCGCCTGTGCCTTTGCCATCCTCCACGTTCCTTTCCTGCGCCGTGTGCTGTCCTCGCTCTGGCTCTTGTTCGACTTCTGCTGCTTCGTCTCCTTCTTCTCGTTCGTCCTCCTCCACCGCTGGTTGTGATGGCTCTTCGTAAGTGCTGTCGCTGCTCCGTGCACTCCTTCGCCCCTGCTTTCGTCGTCGTCGTCGTCGCCTCTGTTGTGATGAAAGCGCGTCGCCACCATCACCGCTAGTTGCATCATCATCGCGGTCTGCACTCGCATCAGCCGTCAGCATCATCTCCAGCGCTTTCGCCTTCAGCACCGCCTCCTCAGACTGTACAACACGCACACGACACGGGGCGTAAGTCGGTTGTGAATGAACATGTGTGTGTGTGTGTACATGTGTTCTGTGCCTGTGCTTATGTTGTGTGTGTGTGTGTGTGTTCTGTGCCTGTGCTTATGCTATGTGTGTGTGTGTGCGTGTGTCTGTGTGCGTGCAAGTACACTTGCAAAGCCAGAAACACTTGGTTGTGGCTTCACACCAAACATATACACAAGCAACATGCACACACAAAAAAAAAACGCAAAAACGTCACGTACGTCCCGCTGCCGGCGTTCGGACACGCGTGCGCGCTTCTCCTCATTCCGCTGTCGCAGCAATCGCCCCTGCTCTTCCAACTGGGCCGCCACCAGCTGCTGCTGCTGCATCTTGCGCTGTTCGTCCTGCGTAAACTCCTGCAACACCTGCTCCCGTGCCGCCATCTCGCCGGCTAGGCGCCGTTCCCTCGCCTGCCGTAGCCGCTCCTCGCTCGCAAGTTGAAGTTGCTGCTGCTGCTGCTGATCGTGTTGGTGTTGCTGGTGTACGAGCCCCTCCTGTTGTGTGTCAGATGTTCGTCTTGCCTTCTGCTGCTGCTTGGCAAATGCCTCGGCCTTTGCTTGCTCTTGCATCTCTTGCCTCCGCTGCTGCGCAAGCCGCATTCGCTCGCTCACAGACAACCGCTGTGTGGGCTGTTGTGCACCCATTCCTGTCACTGTTGCCGCTGTTGTTGTCGTTGTTGACGTTGCCGTTGGTGCTGTTGGTACAGCTGCTGTATTCGCAGTTGCGGCAGACTGAGACGATGTGGATGAAGATGAGGATGTGCGAGTTTTCCTGCTGCTGATGGTGCCCGGTGCTGAAGTGGTTTCAACTGCTGTCTCGTCTGATTGGGGCGCTGGCTCTTGCGGTTTGCTTCCCTGCTGCCGCTGTTGTTGTTGTTGCTGTTGTTGTTGTTGTTGTTGTTGTTGTTGTTGTTGTTGTTGTTGTTGTTGTTGTTGTTGCTTTTGCTGCTGCTGCTGTTGTTGTTGCCTCTGTTTCTGCTTTTGTCGCCGTCTTTGCCTTTTGTTTTGCTTCTTACCTCCGCCTTGCTGCTGCTGCTGCTGCTGTGATGGTGCAGTGTCACTTGGGACCACAACCTTTTCTTGCCCATCTGCCTTCCCTTCTTCTTGTGGCCTGCCAGCATGTGTTGCCTTGTCTATCGCCACATCCTCGTGTTTGCCATCGCCACCCTTGACCGCCTGCTGCACTGTGCCATCATTGCTCGCATCTCTTGCTGTTGCATTCGTTCTTCTTGAATTCCCTTCATCAGCCACGCCACCCTCAACATGATCGCCTTGCTTCTCGTGCTCTCTCGCCGCTTCCTTGCCTTCTTCCTTGTTGAGGCGTGCCCCTGTCTCATGCTCGTGCGTTTCCACAATCGTGCCTTGGACGTCTTCCTTCATCTCTGTTCTCTCCTCCTTCCCCTTTGCATCTTTCGCTTCTGCATCATGTGCCTCTTCGTCGCCACCGCCGTATTCTGGCACATCCCAGTCGTCAAACATCTCAATCTCGTGCTCGTGCTGCTCGCCAAAATCGTCTCTCTCCGCACACGCCCCGCACACCACATACAGGTCGTCACAGAACAGGCATTGCAGGGCCTTGCTCTTTGGTGCCAGCACACATCCGCACAGCCCACACCGCGGTGGGTTTGCCCTTGAAAACGCATTCATCGCCTCCTGCTGTCGTGCCGTCACCGTTCGTTGTTGCTGCTGCTGTTGCTGTTGTTGTTGTTGCTGCTGCTGGCGCTGCTGTTGCTGCGTGTCTTGTGTTGCTGCTGCTGCTGCTTCTTCTTGTTCTCGCTGTTCCTCTTCTTCGTGCTGTTCGCCTTCTGCTCCGTCTTCTCGTTTGGAGTTGCTCCCACGAGCGCCACTGGCCTGTGGCTGCGGTAAGCTGCGTGTGCCCCTTCTGTGTGTGCCCTTTCCTACCTGCCGCGGGCTGTCACGTGCTGATGCTGGAGGTGCAGCAGTAGCGGCTTGTGGGACTGCAATTACTCTTGCTGGTGTGGTGGTTGCAGGTGCTGGTGGTGTGGGAAGTGTGGTGCCTGTGCGTGCGTGAGATGAACGGTGAGCGGGTGGCGGAACCTGTGGTAAGCTGCTGCGGCGACCGCGATGACGACGCTCCTTCTGCGGGCTTTGGCTTTCGGTCGCAGCAGTTGGGGTGTCAAAGACAGGAAACGTCAAAGCCGCACCCCCTTTTTTCTGCTCCTGCTGCTGTTGCTGCTGTTGCTGTTGCTGCTGCTGCTGTGGTGGTGGCACAGGGAGGGAAGGCCTTCGGCGGCGCGGCGAGGGAAGCGCAGGCTGCCTCTGCTGTGGTGCCGTTGTGCGTTGTGCGTCGCTATCGGACACGTGGCGCGAACGTGCTGGACTCGCGGGTGGGGTTGAAGACTGACTGGGCAGAGGCAACTGGCGAGTTGCTGGTCTCGAAGACGGTGCTGCCTTTCCCGGCTGGGGTAAGCTCCGAGGGGCGCCTGTGTCCGCACTACGCCTGCGCTGTGGTTGTGGGAGAGCGCGAGGCTGTGGCTGCTGGTGGTCTGCGTTCTTTGGAGTCTGGGAAGAGATACGAGACAGCGATCCGGGACTGGGCAAGCGTTTCCGCCGTGGGTTGGCCTGTGTATGTGTGTATGTGTGTATGTGTGTATGTGTGTATGTGTGTGTACGTGTGTGTCTGTGTGTGTCTGTTTGTGCATGTGTGTGTGTCTGTGTGTGTCTGTGTGTGTTGTGTGTGTCTGTGTGTCTGTGTGTTGTGTGCTGCAAGTGTACATCTGCGCAAGATTGAGACTGTACGCGTCTGCGCGTCTGTGCATGACGTGGGTGCTGGTATCAGGGGCTGAACAGAGAGCGTTTGAGTGTGTCAGCATGACTGGCTGGAGAGGAGTGAAACGCAGCTTCTGTGCCAGCCAGACCAACCTGAGCTCCAGGGCTTGGTGTCGGGGTGGGAGGAAGCCGTACTTGTGGTGTCTCTTGAAGTGTGCAAGACACAACGACCAACACACACACACACACACACACACACACACACAAATGCACACACACACAAATGCACACAGACGCACAGACATGCACACACGCATATGGGTGCGTGTATATGACATGAGAACGCTGCTGAGAACGCTGCTGGTGCACCACAGTCACAACCCCAACACATTGAAATACAAAAATGTCACATGTCACAACCATCATCCATCCCAAGACCTTCCTCACCTCCAGGTGGATGTGAAGGCCTCCTCCTTCTCCCTCGGCGTGCTCGTTGGCCCTCCTCCTGCTGCTGTTCTTGTTGCTGCTCTTGCCGTGGTTCGTCAACACTTGTGGGTAGCAGCAGCCTGTGCGTCGCCTGCTGCCTGTGCTGCTGATGCTTCTTGCTCTCGTCCTCCTTCCTCTCCTCCGCCTCCGTTTCCTCTTTCCCGTTCATTGCCGAAAATCACCGAAAGACCTTTCGACATGTGTATCTGTGTGTGTGTGTGTGTGTGTGTGTGTGTGTGTCTGTGTCTGTGTATCTGTGTGTGTGTGTGTGTGTCTGTTTGTGTGTCTGTGAGTGTGTCTGTGTGTGTGTCTGCCTATCCCTGCGTGTTATGTGATGCTTGCATTGATTGGAGCAGCAAAGAAAAGAAAAAAAAAATACAACCCACCCACCTCACCCACCTCAAACTTTCATACACAAGCTCTCGTTTTCTGATACAACGACTCCACACACACCCACACACACGCAATACACACACACACACACAAAAGACCTGCACGGCTATCAAAATCAAACGCACACACTGCGCGCAGCACAAGGGAAAGCAACACTGCACCACGCTACGGAACAGCAACTGGGGTATATCCCCAGCCATCATCGTTCTCAACACGTCAAGCGGTCTGGTCTGTCTGGACCACTTGACAAAAGTACAAAAACAAGAAACAAAACTTGTGACGCACTCTATGCACACACACGCGCGCGTACACACTCAACGCATGCACAATGCATGCACTCCATCGCGCACCATGCACACACACGCACACAGACATACACATATCACCTGCGGGCAACGCCAGAGACATCCCCAACGCCATCATCAACGACAAAGCCGCTGCCGTTGCGTGAGCCCGCCACATTGGCGTAGTCGTCATCGTCGTCGTCATCATCACCATCGCCATCCTCGCCAGCAGCACCCCGACCAGGACCAGCTCGATTCAGGGCAGCAGCACCACGCACATGCGCATGCGAAGGGCTGCCTTTGCTTGCAGGGGATGAGGATGTCTGTGCGCGGCCATAGTCAGACGGCCCGCCAAACAACGGCTCCTGCCCCGTCCGCAACAGCCCGCCAAGACCACCAGTGCCACTTGTGCCTGTTGTGCCTGTTGCTGATAAGGACGATGACGGCGGTGCGTGACCCGTGGCGTCGTGGCGGTAGTGGCGACTCAGCTGCCCCAGCAGGCGATCGTGTGATTCAAAGGCAAAGCTGTCACTCAGCAAGCCCTCGCCAAAGCGAACCTCGCGCCCCTGCGACAGGCCGCCCGCTGTACCCTTGGTGTCTGCATCACCTACGGTCGCCGCTGTAGTTGTCGTTGTCGTCGTCGTTGCTGCTGCTGGAGGTACCGTGGCCGTGCCCATTGCGTGAGTGGGCGCTGTTGCTGCTCGCGAGCTTGAAGGACGCAGCAGGGCTGACCCAAAGTCGCGGCCTCCACCAAGCGGCGGTGCACTTGGGCTGCCCATCCCACCACCAACACGTTGCCGCTGCTGCTGCTGCTGCTGCTGCTGCTGCTGTTGCTGCTGTTCTCGGGTGGTGCGTGTTGCTGTTGTGGCGGCGCCATCGCCATCATCGCTGCTGCGTGCGTGCATGTACAGGTGGTCAAACTGCCGCCTGGACGCAGCAGACAAAGGCGGTGCCTGCGCAAACAGACCCGCGCCACCATCGCCATTCTCCCGCCGTTCGCCCAGCAGCCGCTGGGTTTCCAGTGCAGAGGGGTACCGATCAAGCTCGGCATACGCGGGGGCACGCGCGTACACGCCCACCTTCTCCTTCTCCTTTTCCCTCTGCCAATGTTGCTGCTGCTGCTGCTGCTGCTGCTGCTGCTGCTGTTGTTGTTGTGTTGAGCCGCCGGCCTGAGGATACGATTGAAGAAACCCAGATGGAACATCACCACGTGCCGGCTGCTGCTGCTGCTGTGGCTGAGCTGCGCGCATGCCTGGATACACGGGTGCAATCTCCACGTCGTACCCGCCCGTGCCTGCAGGCAACCCAGCCGACATCGCCGCAGACGGCTGGGTACGTGCCGGTGCAGCAGGAGTAGCCACCATGTTCTCCACCATGGTCATGCGGCGCTCTAGGATGTGCACCGTCTGGGTGAGCAGGTCCAACTGGTTCACAATGTGCTCCAGCGTGGACGCTGTTGCGTAAGGCATGTTCAGCGGCTCCAGCGGCACCGCTCGGCCCCCGTTGCGCCCGTGACCCTCGTTGTCGCCTGGTGAACCATCGTCGTAAAACAGGGCGGGCGCCACGTCCACAATGTCGGCATCGCCAGCCATCATGTCGCGCACCTGCGCAGGGGAGCGGACAACGTGTCCGGTGCCACGCCCACCTGCGGTTCCAAACGCATTTAGGTCTGCAGGCGAGGGGCCGCTGTCATCTGATCTTGACGTGCGATGCGGGGAGAAGGACACCGGTTTGCCAGGCCGAGCGTGGCGCGTCGTGGCGCTCACAGACTGGACAGGCTGGCCGGGTCTTCTCTTCCACTCGTTGTGCACGTCCCCGTGCTCCCTTCGCTGCTTCTTCTGCTTGTGCTTCTGGCTCTGCCCCTCTTCCTGCTGCTGTCGTTGTTGTTGTGCCTGCTGACCCTTCTTCTGCCCACCCTTGCTTTTGCCTCCTTTGCTTGCACGCATCTGCTGCTCGCGTGACCGCCGCACAACTGTCCCGCGCGGTGGCTCCTGTTGCTGCTGTCCTTGGTACTGCTGTTGTTGGCTCTGGTACTGCTGCTGATACTGGTGTCGCTGGCGGTGGCGGTGGGTTGCGCCATTTGCGCCCGCGGTGTGGATGGACGTGCTGTTGTACACGCCGCCAACGCCAGGTGCTGGTGCTGGCGCTGACCCTGCGCCCGCCTTGAATGCCTCATCAAACTTGGTGTCCCAGAGCAGAACAGCGTGGTCGCGGCCGCCGGACGCAAACTGGCGCCCGTCAACAGAGAAACACACGTCTGTCACCGCCCCCTTCTGCCCGTGCAGCGTGTAGAACAGGTGGCCCTCACGCAGGTTCAGAATCTGCACCATGTGTGTGTGTGTGTGTGTGTATGCGTGTGCGTGTGCGTGTGTGCGTGCGTGTGTGGGGGGGGGGGCAGGGGTGGGGGTGGATTACACATGGGTGCGACGAGAAGAGTGAGCGTGGTTGGGTGAAGGACGGGAAAGGGTGCATTGCTGAACACGTGTGAATGTAGCGCAGACATCGTGTGTGCATGTGTGTGTACATGTGTACGTGTCCTGCGTACCCGGAGCGTGGAATCTTCAGAGCCCGTGAGGAGGAAGTTTCCGGATGGATGGAAGGAGAGGGAGGTGGCGCTTGTGTCATGCGGCGCGTAATGCTGCAGCAGCTTGTTTGTGCGCGTGTCCCACAACTTTGTGTGGAAAGAGGGAAATAGCAGAAGCAGCAGAAGCAGCAACATGAACTAGAGCGTAAGCGGTTGTAAAATTCCACAGAGCCACAGCAGTCGCAGTTTGTCAAGCGTGTGTTGTGTGTGTGTGTGTGTGTGTGTGTGTGTGTGTGTGTGTGTGGCTGTGTTTTTGTGGCTGTGTGTCTGTGTCTGTGTGTGTGTGTGTGTGTGTGTGTGTGTGTGGCTGTGTTTTTGTGGCTGTGTGTCTGTGTCTGTGTGTCTGTGTGCGTGTGCCCATGGTGCTAATGCAAGCGAGCAACGCGTGTTACCTTGATGGTGCCATCACCACACGCGGCAGCAACGCAAGTGCCGTCTGGGTGGAAGTCCACCTGGTTGATCACCGCTGCGCTCTCGTGGAACGTGTGGATCAGCGACCGGGAATCAACATCCCACAGCTTCACCTGCAGTGTGTGTTGTTGTTCATTGCGTTGTTTGTTGTTGTGCATTGCGTTGTGTGTTGTTGTTCATTGCGTTGTGTGTTGTTGTGCATTGCGTTGTGCATTGCGTTGTGTGTGTGTGTGTGTGTGCATGTGTGTGTTGTGTGTTGTGTGTTGTGTGCGTGTGTGTGTTGTGGATAGGATGAGCGTGGGGTGACTTTCACGTGGTGCAAACAGACCGCGCAGGTGCAAACGCAAAAGCAAGCAACTTGAGAGTGAGTGGGGAAGGAGGGGAACACGGGAGTTGGTCGTGCATTGCCATACCGTTCGATCATCGCTGCCAGAGACAATCATGCGGTCATCAGAGGACAGGCGAGCGCTGCGCACCCAGTTGGTGTGGCCTGTTGGGGAGGTGCAACCGTCATCCGCAGACGTTGTGGTGTGAGCAGCTTGGAAAAGGGGGCTGACGGGCTTGGCTAACACCCAAACATGAAGCACACTACAGGTGCACGTGACTGCGTGCACACACATACACACACGCACACACATACACACACGCACACACACATACACACACACATGTACACACGCACACACACATACACACACATACACACATGTACACACGCACACGCGCACACACACATACACACACAACATGGCAACGGGTTCATGATTCCTGACCTTTGAAGGAGACCTTGAACTTGTGTCGGTGGACGTCGTGGAGTTTGACGAGCTTGTCATCAGAGGACGTGAGCAGCTGCGTGGAGTCGTGCGAAAACTGCACCGAGCGCACGCTCCCGCTGTGCACTTTGATGCACGTCGACTCGCCCTGCATGCACGATGGCACAGCAGCACCCACAGAAAACCGAGAGTGAAACTCAAAACAGCGCGAGGATGTACATGGTGTTGTGTTTGCCGTACAGTGCCATGCTGTATGTTGTCCCATATCGCGAATCATGCATGCAGCACGGCAACAGGTGTTCACACACACACACACACACACACACACACACACACACACACGCACGCACACGCACGCACACACATGCACACACACACACGCACACACGCACGAGTACGTGTGCCTGCAGTCATCCTACCGATGTGTGCTTTGGAACCCAGAAGCGCACGGTGCGATCTCTTGAGCCGGAGGCAAGCAGGTGGCCCGTGCTGGAGAAATCCACCGAAAGCACACCTTCCTGGTGCCCATTGAGCCTGCACGCCCGAATCTGCTCTCAACACAGCAACACACAGGGATGTGAGAGGCGTGGGGCGTGGGGCGTGGTAAAGCGAGACAGCAAGTCAGCAAACGTGCATGTGTGTCTTCTGCGTGATGTCAACAAAGGCAGCAACAAGGGAAAGCTGCGTGCACAAGCACAAGCCCATTGCGCAGAAGCGGAAGTGAATTTGCACACCTTGGGATGCTGGAGATCCCAGACAAGGATGGTGTTATCCAGGCCTGCTGAAGCCAACTGTTTCATGTTGGGGTTGAAGGCGACGCTGGTGACATCTTGCTTGTGGCCGTGAAAGTGCCGGCACAGGACCGGGTCCTCAAACACATCCACGTTCATCCTTTTTCTGTCTGTGTGTGTGTGTGTATGAAAATGTGCGTGTGTGGTTGTGCCGTAGCTTTAACGTTCGTGTGTCTGTGTGTGCGTGGTGTATCGTCTGTGTGTGTGTGTGTATGCGTGAAAGTGCGCGCGCCACGGATGCCTCCTTTCTTGGGGACCAGGTTATCTATCCCTTCACCAACCACAGGAAGATGGAGACGATCAGCTGCAGTGGCTTGCAGTGGTTGGTGGCGGTGGTGGCAAAGACGAAGGTCGCAGTCCCTGCAAGATACAACCAAGCTCGCTTGTTGTCGTGTGGTGTGAAGTTCTCGCTCGCACTGGCTGCCGTCCAAATTTTGAAAACCAGCCAAGGGGTTGTTGAAGATTTGCGAATACCTTCAACAACTATTCGGCTTGGCTGTTTTGCTGCGGAGCTGCTTGGGTTGTGTGGTTGTCTGTTTTGATGTCTCTCTCATGATGTGTGTGATGTGACATGACTGACATGACCCCGCTCCTTCCGTTCCTTCCCCCTTCCTCCCACCTCTCCTTCCTTTCCTCTCCTTCCCACCTCTCCTCTCCATGTCTCTCACGTCGCTCGCCCTGTGCTTCGAGCAAAATCACGTCAAGACGCGCGAGGAGGGGGAATTGATTACATTACTTAGCAAGTAGCGGAAAGAGGGGGGAGGAGGGGCGAAGAGGCACAAGCCGTGCGGTCGCGCAGACAAGGACGCCAAACTCGACGAGTAACAGCACAAGAAGGGAGAGCGCGAGTGGGAGGCTAGCATTTCCACGCAAGCACGTGAACGCAAACAAGCCCCAGTGGGTACCTCAGCAGTAACACTCATCGAAAGCACAACGCACGCAACACGCATCCAATGCACAGGCACACAACCCAAGCTCCGCACACGGAGAAGAGAGGCGGCTATTGCGGCTGACACGTGTCGGAGCTCTTGGCCTGTGCTGATGTTGACGATGACGATGATGCGGACGAGGTTTCCTTCGGGGTGGTGGATGAAGGGAGCGGGTCTTCGCCCAGGTCTAGCTTGCGGCGAAACAAGAGGGAGTTGGGGTCCTTCTTTCGAATCAGGCAATGCGTCCACCCTTTACTCTGCCGGATTCCGAGGCGACGGCACTCCTTCTCCGTCAGAGCCCGATGCAAAGGCAACCCCTGACCCATCTCCCCAGGCAGGATGACGGTTCTGCAATCGTGTCAACGTGTGTAAAGAGGAGGTAGAGGAGGAACGTTTGCGTGAACGTTTGCGCATGTGTAGGCGTGTACGTGTGCGAATGGATGTGAATGTATGTGAATGTGCAAATGGGTGTGGTTGTGTGTGTGTGTGTGTGCGTGTGAATGTGTTGCAGGAGTTCGGTGAAGTTCGGTGCGCGCAAAGACGAATGAGGAGCTTGGTTGGTTGCATGCCAGGAACGACAGATCAAGTCATTTTGCACTTGCACATGCTCAAGAACAAACAAGGACACGCTGAAGAGTGTGGGCGCATTGTTGCGCTTCACCATCACAACACACACCACGCCACAACACAAAGCAACCATTGGCATATGACCAAAACCAACAGCATAGCATCCCAGACATGAGGGAACGATGAACAGGACACAACCCCCAGCCCGCCCCCCGCACAAACCCACACACAAAGCACACCTGTATTGAAACTGGTCATCGCGATGGCGTTCCACATACACGATGCCACTGGAGTCGTCCGTCCATCGCTGTGGCGTCGTTGTCATCGTCGTTGTTGACTGCAAAGTGGACGTTGCTCTCCTCTTCCAAAACAAATGACCTGCAGGGTTCGGTGTTCCGCTGATCAAGATTGTTGGGGGGGTGAAGGGAGGAAGGGGAAGAAGGCAATCACGGTGTGGTGGTTGTGGTTGTGGAAAATCTGCGTGTGTGTGGGAAGAGGCGCGGGCGCGGAACCGCTCCCAGCAAAGGGTGTGCGTGTCCCACAACGGCACGCTTCGGTGGCGTTGAGGAGTTCCGGGGAGGACAGTCGAGGCGGCTGCTCATTGTTGCCAAATTCAACACCATAAACTGCAGTGCATACGTGGCAATATTCTAGCAACGTGAACGTGAATTTTCCTCTCGCCACTGTTGTGCGTGCTTGTTGTTGTGTGTGTGCGTGCGTGCACGTGGCCACACGCACTCGTGCGACCTTTCATTTTTTCCTTTGCACCAACCAACCAACCAAAGCAACCGACGATCAAGATGTTGATGACCTGAACAACGAGAACAGTGCTCTATGATTTGACACCCACGATGTGATGAACACGCCGTCGACATTGCCTCCCTTCAAACAAGTGATGTGAAGACAGCACAAGGCCACTGCAGTGTGCACGCACGCGCGCCGCCATCCAACTTTCAGGTGAGCTTTTTGATATGAGTGCATGTGGCCTCCACGCTTGCTTGGTTGTACCTTTGCTTTCTCTCCCTCGACGTCGGTGTTCTCTCTCTCTCTCTCTCTCTCTCTCTCTCTCTCTCTCTCTCTCTCTCTCTCTCTCTCTCTCTCTCTCTCTCTCTCTCTCTCTCTCTCTCTCTCTCTCTCTCTCTCTCTCTCTCTCTCTCTCTCTCTCTCTCTCCCCCTTCCCTTCTCTTCCCTTCCCTTCTCCTCCCTTCCCTTCTCTTCCCTTCCCTTCTCTTCTTTTCTCCTCTCATGTCTTTTTTTTTTGACTCTCTTCGTGGGCAGCTCACGACTGAGGCGAAGCTGTTCAGTGCTTTCATGACCTCCGTTCCCGCTGCCAACATTAAACCACACCAGCGTGTGGAAGGGACTGAACATCCCTTGTTGGCGTTAAAACCAATGCTGGCGGCTCAATTTCCAGTGCCGTAGTGTTGACCGATCACCAGCACATCATCCTTCTCCTTTCTTGTTTTTGCTTTTCTCTTCGCTGCACCTTCCTCTTCTCATCCTCATCCACCGACTCAGACGTTTCTTCTCACTCCGCGCACATGACTTCCTCATCCGTAGGCAAACATGGAGCAAGGCCGTCTTCGGTGATCCACTGTGCCCTTCCTGCCAGTGACCTCCCAAGACTACGCCACAAGGCGCAGCAGGAGGAGCACCCTCGGAGCAAGCGACTGCACAATCATACCGACCAACAGTCCTCACAAACCAGCGTGCATTCCGCCCGCCCCCTCCCCCTTATCTCTTGCCGCGACATGTCTTTCCCGCTGTCTTGCATCTGTACATTGCTTGACCTCTCTTGGTGACTCTTCACGCTCGTGTCACTTTTGTTCAATCCCCCAACAAGTAAAAGCACGTGATGTGAAGTCACAGTCATGGAATGTTATGTACATCACATAACGTGCTCTGAATGAATGAATCCCAGTGTGTTTACTGTGGCTACCAGGGCGCCCTTAAACGGATGGCGGGTACAATTACATGACATGATCTGACGGGCAGCCCACGCAGAGATGAAAGGAAGCATGTACACAAACAACAAAAGAGAGAAGCCGACGGCAAACAACACAACCATGGCATACACAGACGCAATATCATTGAAAGCTGCGCCACGCGCTCTCGCATACATACACAATTAGCGGCGCAGGGTGACAAGACAAAAACGCAATACAACACGTCATCCATCTACAGCTTTGCCTTGCGAATCACCTCGTCCACAAGCTTCTTGTAGTCCCAGTGGTTGCCCTTGATGCGACGCAGGTGGATGCCACGCATGTCTGCGAAACAACAACAAGCAACGCAGCGTGAGTCAATTAAGGAGGGGGGGGGTTAGATCGGCAAGCAAGCGAGTGATCATGTGTACACACACACACGCACACACACACACACACACACACACACACACACGCACACACACACACACACACACACACACACACACACACACACACACACACACAAACAAAACACGCACACACACGCACACACACACACACACACACACACACAAAACACGCACGCGCGCGCAATAAACGTACTGAGGTCAGGCAAGACTTGAACGGTAATCTCCCAGACAATGGTTTCCATGGAGATGAGGCTGTTGCGGCGGGCACGCAGCGCGTGCTCGGGTCCACCGGCTTGGGCGACGCGGGAGCAGCGCAGCTTCACGGGACCACGCTCCTGTGATGAACAAACAACAGAACGTGGTGTTGGACGACAACACGGTTACTGGACGGCACTGGTTACAAGGACGCGTTTGACATGGCACAAGTAGAAACCTCACAAGACACACTGCAGCAAGCACACGCGAAACAACACACCTCGAACATCACGTCGCAAGAGCGTAGCGCCTGCTTCAGCTCGTGGATGATCACGTGTGCAGGCTTGATGGATGTTGTGGCGGCTCCAAACGCGCTGTGGTCAGAAAACAAGGCAATGCAACATGGATGAGATCAAGCAATGTGTACCTCACACACACACACACATGAGCATACACCCTCCCATTCACACCCATAATCACACTCTCACTCACTCACTCACCCTCCCACTCAGACACACTCTCACACACTCTCACGCACACACTCACGCACACACTCACTCACACCCACGCAACACAAAACACACCGCATGCTGGAGGCAAGGTCCAAGGCGTCCATGCCCTTCTTGCGCTTCATGCTCTTGGTCAAGTTGGAGATGGAGGTGGCCCGCGTCATGCGCGGACTACCCCGGCTACCACGACTACCGCGGCTGCTCCGCTTGGTGCGGCGTGTCGACACCTTGCGCGTTTTCACTGCTGTAGGTGATGTCGGTGGCATGCCCGCCTGCGTGCCATCAGATGCGGTAGTCGTGGAGACGGCGCCGGCCAATGCGCTGATGGGCGACACGATAGCACCGCCGTCCTGCATGCCAGCAGCAGCCATGCTGGCGTCACCGACCGCACCCGCTGGCGAGGTGGCCATGGCTTGCGGCACGCCCGAGTCGCTCTCCACTGCAGTGTCCTCCTCGCTGAACACCTCGGCAATCTGGTTCTCAATGAGCGAGGGCAGGTGGCCTGTGCTGCTGCTTCGGCGACGCGCCTCCAGGCGCGGTGGGCGGACATCCAACAGCTGTGTGGTGTTGCTGCTGCGCCGGCTGCTGGTGCGGCTCATGTCCAGGCTCTCCGTGCTGTTTGCGCGTGGCGTGAACTCGCCCACGTCTTGCCGCTCCTGCTGCTCCATAATGGCTGCTGCTTCCTCTTCCTCTTCATCAAAGTTGCCGCCAACGTCATCGTAGTCGTAATCGTCGTCGGTGGTGTCGAGGTAGGCGCCGTCGCTGTGTGCGCCGTACTCGTACGCGTGGGCCGCGTCTTCGCTCTTGTGCAGCCGCGACAGCTGTGTGCGCTGCTGCTTGCGTGTTGCGCGCTTGCGCTGCAGCATCAGCTGCTCGTCACTCGTGGTGACCAGCCTGTCCACGTTCGTCACATTCACCACCACCGGCGACTCCGCACGGCGCCTTGCTGCCGGAACGGAATCCAGCACAAACGGTGCCGTATCACTCGATCGTTTGCTCTCCGCGTCGCTAAACGCGATGCTGTCCCTGGCGTTGCCGCGCTCGCTTGCGCTGCTGCTGCTGTTGCTGAATGCGTCCTCCTCCATGCCAGGCGTGGTGTTGGCCGGTGTTCTCCCCTGCATGCGCGGCACGGGCGATGCGGCATCGGAGAACTCGATGGAAGGCCGTGCGCTGTCGGAGTTGCTGCCAAAGAAGAGGTTGGTGGTGTGGAGGTGACCAAGCAGGCTGGACCGGCGCGTGCGGGACGCACGGCGGCGACGGGCAGGCAGCGGTGACACTTCCAACTCAAACGTTTGCGGCGTCTGCATTGCGTGTGTGTGTGTGTGTGTGTGTGTGTGTGTGTGTGTGTGTGTGTGTGTGTGTGTGTGTGTGTGTGTGTGTGTGTGTGTGTGTGTGTGTGTGTGTGTGTGAGGGTGTGTGTGTGTGTGAGGGTGTGTGAGGGTGTGTGAGGGTGTGTGAGGGTGTGTGAGGGTGTGAGTGTGAGGGTGTGTGAGGGTGTGTGAGTGTGAGGGTGTGTGTGAGGGTGTGTGAGGGTGTGTGTGTGAGTGTGAGTGTGAGTGAGAGAGTGTGTGTCGTCACGCAATGCCATCATCAAACAACAGGCATGCAACGTTAGCATCGCATGTCGTATCCATGCGGGTGCACCTACGTTGCCGAGCATGGTGACTTTGTGGGATGGGCGACGCGGAGATGCGAGCGAAGATGGAAGTGGCGTGTGGCCTGCTGTTGTGTTGCTTCGGCGCCGGTGCTGTGCATGGTGGAAGGTTGCGGCGTGAGTTGAAAGAAGCGGCTCCATGACATGAAACATACACACACACATCCCGCACATACACACATCCCACACACACACACACACACACACATCCCGCACACGCATCCCACATCCCACATCCCACACAAACAAACAAACACACACACGTCCCACACACATCTCACAAACACACACACACACGCATCCCACATCCCACATCCCACACAAACAAACAAACAAACACACACACGTCCCACACACATCTCACAAACACACACACACACGCATCCCACATCCCACATCCCACATCCCACATCCCACATCCCACATCCCACATCCCACATCCCACACAGAAAAACAAAGACACACAGTGACGCAAACGTACCCTTCGCGCTTTCGCGGCGCCAGCAGGGGTTGCACTTGATGGTGAAGACGAGGAAATGTCCTCTGCAGACTTGGACCCTGTTCGTGGCTCACTCTGGGTCGGGTTGGGCTGCATTGCCGCCTGGGCGTGGCTGAGATGGCTGTGCGCGTGCTGCTGATGAAACACGTGGTTGTGCGCGTGCGCATGATACTGGGCAGGCGACGCTGCGTGCGACGATGTGGCTGAAGACTTGCGAGATGAGCCGGCGGATTCGTCCGAGAGCGCGCCAATGGAGGAAACAGACCCATGCGTGGTGGTGCCCATCATCATGTGGTGCCGCATGTGCTCCCGCGATGCACTGTGGCTCAGCAGTGCCAGACGGGACCCGGTTGGAGATCGCACCGTGGTTCGGATGCTCACCTCCTCATCTCTTGTCTCCACCAGCGTGCCGAGCGTGCTGACCCGTCGGCGTCGGGTGCGACCGGCAGAGCTGACGCCGCTCACAGAGAGGCGTGAGCGCCCTGCACTGCCGTTCGCAGCAGCAGCATATTGGTGTGCGTGGTAGTGCGGGTGACGCGGGTGGGTGGGCGACCCCGGCTCAATTGCCGTCATGCGGCGGAGGCGGACCGGTGGGGAGTGCGGGGCACTTGCACCCAGGGCGATGCTGCGACGAGCAACGGCCGGGCCAGCGGAGGAGTGGGCCAGCGGGTGGTCTGAGTGGCTATTTCTCCTGCGGCGCGAGGGGGTGGCATAGGGTGGGACGCCACCATCCATGGACGAGGAGGACACAGCACCGTTGATGGTGGCCTGCTGTCGGAAGGCGGCGCGGCGGTGGGCAACACGCCAGGTTGCGGCCATCTGGCTTGCTTGTCCATCCGTCCGTGATCGCGCGCGCATGCCCTCTGTGTGGTGCAGTGATGTCAGGGGTGAGGGGTGCGAAGGTAGAAGTTCATTGTGAGAGGAGCAGTGTCGGGTCACGTAGAAACAGCGCAATGCAAACAAAGTGTGTCCAAGAAAAAAAAGCAAGCATGGATGTCACACACACACACACACACACACACACACACACACACACACACACACACACACACACACACACACACACACACACACACACACCACATGCATGCCATGCACATGGGTAAGCCATCATGACACACCTTCGAGGTGCGTATTGCTGCTAGCGCTGTGTGGGCGCTCTGCGGTGGTTGGCGCCTCCGGCATGTGCATCATGACAGAGAGATCTGAATGGTGATGGTGCATGTCATGCTCATGCACATGCACATGCGCGTGCGCGTGCGCGTGCACCTGCTGCTGCACTTCTTCCTCCTGATGCTCGCTCTCTGTTCCATCGTCCCCATGAGCGTGTTCACCCTGCACCCTGCCTGCGTCCACAGATGGCCGCAGGAAGAGCAGCGGGGAGCCAGAGCGGCTGTTCCCGGGCGTCAGCGACTTCAACCCGGCAATGATCCGTTGAATCTCTGCACCCACAAACAATGGAGGCGGGAAGTGGAGTGAGTTGTGACGTGAGACGGGGATGCAACAACAACACGTGTGTAGATAGGAGTGGGACCAAGCTAGGTTGAACGTGTTCTGGAAGAGTCTCCACGGCACTTGCGCAGCTTGTACATCTCAACGAAGCACGTGCTCTGCAACAACACGCGAGTACACACAGACGCACCATTATCCTTTTCCTCTCGCTTTGCTTCCTGTGCGAGCTTGTTGAGAAGAAGGTGGTATGTGGCGGTTGCACGCGTGATTTTGTTCTCCTTCAGGCACGCGCGGAGGTGTGCAATGTCGATGTCTGTTTGCGCGGCAATCTCTTGCATGCATCTCTGTACGAGTGCCTCTGATGGTGGCGGTACTTCCACAATCAGCGGCTGAAGTTTGCCGCTCTGCGAAATCCATGGATGCTGCCACAACTCCTGCACCGTGCACCAAATCAAGATACGTGTATGTGTGTGTTTGTTTGTGTGTTTGTTTGTGTGTTTGTTTGTTGTTTGTTTGTTGTTTGTTTGTTGTTTGTTTGTGTGTTTGTTTGTTTGTTTGTTTGTTTGTTTGTTTGTTTGTTTGTTTGTGTTTGTGAGTGTGTGTGTGTGTGTGTGCGTGGCATGTCATTTCTGTGGTGAGTACAACTGTGACTGAAGGCGAAGAACGGCAAAGTTGTGTCCGCTCTGTGTGTTGTTGCTGTTTGTCGGAATAGCCGCATGCAGGCACGAACGCAGCCTTACATCGACTGACAAACAGACACAATCACGCAAAAAGGCACGCATGAGCACCATGCACGCACCTCCATGGACGGGCGGGCCTCTGGATCGCGCTGAAGGACAAGTTGGATCAGGTGCTGTGCGTCGGATGAGAGATATGGCGGCATTTCGTACTCTGCTTGCGTAATGTGACGCAACTTGTCTGCAATGTTGTCGGCCTGAAAGGGCATTTCCCCAGACAGGAGCGTGTACACAATCACGCCCAGGCTCCAGATGTCTGCCTTGGGGCCGCTGTACTTTTCGTTGGCCATGATCTCTGCACGCGTGCAGCCCAAGGGCGTTCGTAAGGAGAGTGTCGTTGAACCACAAAACAAACTACGACAGCGAGTGATGCAGTTCCAAACACTCGCACAACGACTGGACAAGCAAAACGAAACCAAACCAACCAACCAACGCAAACGAAGCAACCAACGCAAGCAAACCAACAACCACAAACACACCAACAACCACGCACCACACAAACCAACACAAACCAACACAAACCACGCAAACCACACAAACCACACAAACCACCACGCAAACCACACAAACCACATAAGCAAGCACCAACCTGGCGCTGCGTATGCCGGGGAGCCGACGAACGTGCTCATGAGGTTGCCGTCCTTGTAAACGTTGGAAAAGCCGAAATCCGTGACTTTGACATCACCATCGTCGTCCAGCAGCAAGTTTTCCAGCTTGAGGTCGCGGTGCACGATGCCTTGGTCGTGGCAGTAGGTGAGGGCAGACATGATTTGGCGCGTGAAGCGTCGGCCTTCTGATTCAGACAGACGGTGCCGGCTCACGAGATAATCAAACAACTCGCCTGTGAAGGGTTGCGTGTGCGTGTGGTGTGTGGCGGGCATGTGTTGCGTGGTGTGTGAATGCGTCACGTGATCATGGTGGTTGAGGGATGGCAGAGGGTTTGGCACAATCATGGTGCATGAAAAACGTGTGAGTGAGCGGCATCGTGGAAGTCAAGTGCCACGAAAAAAAAAAAAAAAGAAAGAAAGTGCATGTACACACTGACAAGCACATAAAGTGAAGGACAGTGCACAAACACACACGCACACACACATAAACAACCACACACGCACACACACATAAACAACCACACACACACACACACACACACACATAAACAACCACACACACACATAAACACACACAGTATTCGTACCGCCAGGGAGGCATTCGAGGACGAGGAGCACTTGGGTGGATGTGCGAATGACGTCGTAGAGGCGAACAACATGGGGATGGTTCAACATTCTCAACGCCGCCACCTCCGTGAGCCGCTTTCCCCCATCTTTGCAATCTTCGCGCGGCACAAACTTGATGGCCACCTGTTGGCCCAAAAGACGGGTGTGAGAAAACATGTGCGTATATTACGTGGGCGAGCGGGATGTGGGTGTTGGAGTAACTGTATGCGCAACCACAATGATTGAGGCGACACTGGATCTAATCCCATGCGCTGGGTTACCAAGCATCAATGATACGTGGCAACAATGGTGGCTTGTTATCACTCACGCTCTGGCCGCTCAGCTTGTGCGTTGCCCTTTTCACTTCACCGTGTGCACCCACGCCTAAGGTTCTGTCAGCATGCACAACAACCAAACGCACCAAACGCACAACACGCACTCGTGAGTGGAACATGATGTTGTGCGCGTACGCATGCATGCGTGCATGTGTTCCCGCCATGGCTGACCACACACAAACACACACACACAAAGCGAGCGCGCAAGTGTGGCTTAAATCTCACAACAAGTACGCACACGTACACACACGTACACGCATACACACACGCATACGTACACGCATACACACACGCATACACACACGCATACACACACGCTTACACACACGCATACGCGCACGCATACGCGCACATTTTAAAAAAAACCTGCACAGGTCCAGGTACTTACTCTCCCACTTGGTATTGCTGAAGCTGAGCAAGGGCGTTGTCCTGCTCCTCCCGGACTTCCTCAGGGATGGATTGAAGGTCCTCGCTCTCATGCACTCCTTTGATCTGTGATGACAAAGACGGCATGGCACACAAGCGAAGCGAACCAAACCGCGTCAATCGATGCCAAGCAAGCAAGCAAGTAAGCATGTACACGACCCTGCCTCACACAGCACATGTTGTGGTTTGACCTTCTTTTGTCTAGCAAAACATACTGAGGCATAGTGGTGCGCGTCGAGGGCCGGAGCGTTGGTTGGCGACAACCCCTCTATGCTTGTCATGGACATTTGTTGCTGCTGTGGCTGCAGTTATGGATGGTTCGTTGGTGATGGCACTCCAGGTGTAGTGTAGTATTCCTCTGGGAGTGGTACAGAGGCTATGTTCGTGGTATGTTCAGCAGATACCCGTCTCCTTGTTCGCCTTTGTTGGTGGTGCAGCAATGTGGTTGGTTGTTTTGTTGGTTGACGAGCAAACTTGAGCGATCCAACGTCACCTGAAAGAGGTGCGAGGTGTGGTGGCCACGGTTGTTGGTTCGTTGGTGGTGGTGGTGGTGAGATATGACAGCAGGCGGTTGGCCTTGTTGTGGATTGATGGATGGATGGATCGATGAAGTGCTTTTTTGGTCAACCCCACGAGCCCAGCTGCCTTTTTTCCCTCTTTTTGACCAGGCTCCCCCCAAGAACAAGAAGAAACACTCTGCGCTCACAACAGCAGCAGCTGTTGCTGTCACCACGCACCAATATCCATCACAGCAAGCCAGCAAGACAGCCAAAGAACCAAACGACGACGAGGACACTCACAGAAGAGGAAGCTGGTCAGTCAAAGGCAGGAAGGCCGCTAATGAATGTGTGCGGATGCATGGTTGGTCGGTTGGTGGGTTGTCCTTTGCGCTGTGGTCAGGGTCAACGCCACTGCGCGAAAAAATTTGCCGTGGAAGAGCTTCAAGTCGTCCGCGAGGTGGCGTTGACGGTCTTTCAAGGTTTCGCTCAAAACAAGACTGACTTGATTTTGCGTTGTTGTAGTGTTTTGCGTAAATCTTCCATTGTTAATCGTAGTGGCAGTTTTTTGGCGGGAAACTTGGCGCACAAACAAGCAAGCACAAACGTGCCTGCTTTGCTTCTTCTGTTTCCGCCCCGCCGTTGATTTGAGCTGAAAGGTTGGTTGGTGTGTGGTTGTTGTGGTTGTGTGTGTTGTGTCTGACGTGAGTTTGTGAGTGTCGTGGTGTTTCCGTGTCGGTGTTGGTGTTGTGTGTGTGTGAGAGACACTAACAGGAACAGCACGGGATAGTCTCACACTCACACATTCACACTTGCAGTCACACACATCAACACATTCACTCACGCATTCACACAATCAAACACACATTCGCTCACACACTCTACACACTGCGTGTTGGCGCCAACTGCTGTCATCTGCATCGGTAGAACAAGCTTGTACCCAGATTGTCGCCTCGTAGCCGAAGATGTTCTATTCGGAGTACGTGCTGGCCAAGCGCGGCCCACTGGGCAAGTATTGGCTGGCTGCGCACTGGACAAAGAAGCTGTCCAGGAAGCAGATTGCAGAGGCAAATGTGGTGGAGGCATGCGAGAACATTGCCCAGCCAGAGGTGAAGCTGGCGCTGCGTACCTCCGGCCACCTTCTCCTGGGTGTGGTGAGGATCCACGACACAAAGCAGCGCACCCTCATGAACGACTGTGCAGAGGCTTTCACTCGCATCCAGGTGCGTGCGTGCGTGCGCGTGTGCATGAGCATGTGTTTGCAGGTGGAGGTGTGGCTGTGCGTCTGCGTGTTTCATCTCCTCGTTGCCTGTCTGCAAACCCATGAAGTGTTGGCAACAACCTGTCACAGCCACGCTGAGAATGCACTGAGTTGGCGCCTTTTTTGTTTTGGTGCAGCTGCGCGTATCTTTGGGGATATGTGAGGTGCAAGACTGGGCTGGTGGGTGCGTGCTGCACTATCAAGACGGACATGCATACAACATGTGACCTCACACCCGCCAACGTTGGTTTTTTTTTTTTTTTTCGTCTGTCCGTTATTGTGATCGCACCGCTCGCGCCCCTAGTTGGTGTTCCGGCCAGGCGTGGTTGATCTGCCTGAGGGCCAGGGACAAGCAGCCTTCAACGCCATCACCTTGCAAGATGACGTGCCTGGCTTGGATGAGGAATTCCTGGACTTTGACGCAGACATGTGAGCCGTGCTGTAATCTCTGGCGCGCGTGCATGTGTGTGCATGCCTGCGCATGGTTTGCGCGTTGTGCCTGTGTGCGTGTGTGTGTGTCTGTCTGTCTGTCTGTCTGTCTGTGCACGTGCGCGTGCATGTGACAGACGCGGAGCAGCTGGCAGTGTGTGTGTGTGTCAACCTCCCTCACCAGCATGCCCTGTTTCTTCTTTCGATGTTGTGTGTTCAGGTTTGAGCCCACGTCTGGCATCACCTCGTCGTACATTGTGCCCCGCAAGGAGGACATTACCTTGCAAGATCACTTTGTCATCAGCATGTCTCAACAAGAGCCCAGTTTCGAGGACACCCTCCTCGACGATATGGCGCCAATCGAGCCCGGTGCGTTTACATGCTCAGCATACCCTCGTTTGAGGCCTGCGTGTGTGTGGGGGGGGAGGTGAGTGTGCGTATCTGTTGTGTGCGAGTGTTTGTTTGTGTGTGTGTGCGCGTGTTTGTTTGTGAGTGAGTGCGTGTTTGTGTGTGTGTGTGTGTGTGTGTGCGTGCGTGCGCGCGCGTGTGTTGTGTGTGTGTGTGTGTGTGTGCGCGCGCGCGTGTATGTGTGTGTGCGCGTGTGCGTGTGTGTGTGTGTGTGTGTGTGTGTGTGTTTTCCACCCGTCTTCGATTTGTGTGCGACTTGCGCTCGTGCTCACACTGGTGTCCAAAATCCCACGCACATTGCTGCTCCTGACCAGGTCGCGCGCCGGAGCTTGGTCGCGATGACACCACGGACATTTCGCGGGGCGGCCCGGACTTTTCCCACGACGTCACCGTGGACCAGAGCGCCATGTCCTTTGACAAGGCACTGCCGGATGAGATGGACTACCCACCCATGCCTGATGACCCGTAAGTTTGTGTGTGTGTGTGTGTGCGTGTGTGTGCGTGTGTGTGTCTGTTGTGACGCTTGAGGCATGACGTTCACTTGTGACCATTCACCAGACTTTTCGCGGTTGCGCTGCTGACACTGGATGCCAACCGCCTGCTTGCCGTGTTGTTGTGTCTTCTGTAGGTTTGCCAACTTGGAGCCAGAGCCCATGGAGCTGGCTGGCGTGGACCAGCCGATTGCAGAGGAAGCCGAAGAGCAGCAACAGCAGCAACAGCAACAGCCTCAAGAGGAGGAGGAGGAGCTCCGACCAACACAGGCGCAGGAGGAAGAGGAACCCGTGATCCCACTTCAACTGGACGAACTCACCATCGAACCCAGGGTGCGTCGTTTGCGCGTATCTGTGCGTGTGTGGGTGTGCGTGTGCGTGTAGATGTTGGTGCGGGTGTGTTCATGCGGGTGTGTCGAGCCAAGAGAGGGGCAGGCAGCTGACAAAAACGGCACAACTGTCGCGAGCTCATGCTGTGGCTGTTGCTGTGATTGTCGTTTCATAGGTATCGCGAAAGCGCGCAAAGCGGCTTGTCATTGACTCGCACATTGACGTGCCATCCGACACGATGCGCGCGCATCTTGCGGAGAACGGCTGTGATGACATTTCCAAGGCACCGTACACCCCAGACTTTCTTGACAAGGAGCTCGTCTATGACATGACGGTGAGCGTGCTTGATGCATGTTTGATGTGTGTGCTGCTACTGTTCCTGATGTCCCGCGAATGCTTCATGAATGTCTCGTTTTTGTCATGCACACATGCCTTCCCTCATCATCGCTTGCCCCTGTGATGCCCTGTTGTTTATGTCAAGCCAACTCACACACGCACGCACACTCACATTCACACACGCACGCACACACACACACACACACACACTCTCTCTCTCTCTCTCTCTCTCTCTCTCTCTCTCTCTCTCTCTCTCTCTCTCTCTCTCTGCCTGTATCGCTGTTTTACTGTTTGCATTGTTTTGCGGGACAGCCCATCTCCTTCTACGGCGCAAAACGCCGCCTCGCAAAGACAGAACCGCCAGAGACGCTCATCCACTCCACCAGCCTTATCTTTGTATGTTGTGCTCTCCTGTCAGTGTGTGTGTGTGTGTGCTGCCTCGAGCGTGGTGCCACAGATTACTTGCACACTTGCACTCACGCATGCACATGCTCACTTGCACGCGCGCACCCATCTCACGCACACTTGCACGCACGCACGCACGCATTCACTCACACGTTTAGGGAGAGCACCCGCTGCTGCGAACGCTGCTGAAGAAGCGCGTCAAGTGGATGACGCCGGAGAACACGCCCGCACTGGCAGCAGCGGCGACAGAACCGGCAGAGGAGGAGGGGGAGGAGCACGAAGTGCGTGTGGAAGAGGAGTTGGGGGCCGATGAACAGGCAGCCAAGCGCGCCCGCACCACAACAGATCTCGAGGAACAGGAGGTCAGTTGCAACAGCCATGTCCACACAAACTGTTTCACAATTGCACACACACCACCGTGCGCTGCCTGCTCCCTCGTGATCTCCAAGCCTCAAACTCGCCATCCAAACTCTGTGTCTCTCCCCGGCACTCTTTCTTTGTTTCTTCGACTGCTTTGTTTTGCTTTGTTTTGTTCTGTCGTATATGCATCCGCACTCACACTCACACTCACGCGTGCAGATGTATGCTGGCGATTTCGATGCGCCGGCACCGATGGACGAGACGGCGCACGACATGACATTTGGCGGCGACATGACGGCGGATATGACGCTGCCCGAGCCCGAGCAGGAGGCGGTGGAGCAGGTGGACGTGCTGACGGCAGAGCAGTACGAGGATGCAGGGTGGTCGCGCAGGTCAAAGCAGGTGCTTGATTCCTTCCGCATGCAGCTCTCGAAGGAGAAGTCACTCAGCTACAACAAGCTCACAAGAGGATTCAACAGGTTCGTTGGCACGTGCGTGTGTGGGTGTGCATGTGAGTACACATGTATGTAGGCGTGGTTCGTTGGCAACGTGTCACCAAATGACGCGCGTGACTTTTGCGAGACGCCCAGCTTGCGTGTCGTGCAGCTGTTGTCGGCACAACACACACACACACACACACACACACACACACACACACACACACACACACACACACACACACACACACACACACACACACACACACACACACACACACACACATTTCGTTGTGCTGCTTACGTGGGTCGCTTCCACGCTCACGCGAACGACACGCTGCTGTGTTTGTTTTACACCACTTGCAGGAAAGAGGCGGCGCACATGCTGCACGAGGTGCTGGTGCTGACAACCAAAGGCTTCATCGAGGTTGACCAGGAGGAGCCCTATGCAGACATCACCATCAGCGAGGCCGAGGGCGACGATGATGCAGACGATTCCGAGGATGTTGGCAGCGAAGGCGTCACCGCGTGAGACGCCCGGCGCGCCGCTCCTCCTTGTACATGTGTATCTTTGTCTCATCCACTCCGCCTTGCTTGCCCGCTGCTGTCGCTATTGAGTTTGTTTGTGTGTGTGTGTGTGTGTGTGTGTGTGTGTGTGTGTGTGTGTGTGTGTGCCCTCGCCTTGTGTTTCTTTTTGCTTTCAGTAGCTGAACCCCTCTTCCCCTCCTGTTTCCCCCCCCCCCCCCTCTGTATGTTTGACGCTGATGGCGTGTTGTTATTGAGCGACAAGTACAAAACTCAGCGAGAGAGTGGTTCTATGTAACATACCTGAGCGGCACGTGGGAATGGTGGCTACAAGGTGCAGGAGTTGTGGTGCAATGCTTCAGTCGTCATGCAGTAGGTAGGCGCAATGTGGCAAGAAAGGGGACAGAAGGCGAGAACACACAAGGAGGGGGGCAAAAGGAACAGAGCGAAACAAAACAACAATCACAATGCCTCGTATGCGAGGACGTGTACGTGTGTGTGTGTGTGTGTGTGTGTGTGTGTGTGTGTGTGTGTGTGTGTGTGTGTGTGTGTGTGTGTGTGTGTGTGTTTGTGTTTGTGTTTGTGGTACGCTGCTACGAGCAAGCGGCACATCTTGAGTCGTCCTTTGGCGGCTCTGGGAACGGCTCGGGATCGTCAAATTCTGTTGGCTTGATGTGGTCCACCAGCGTTCTGTTCACGGATGGGGTACCTTGTCAGGGGATGCGAACGTAAAGCAAAGCCTCCCAGAGAGACGCACAACTACGAACACACACATATACACACATACACACGCACACACACACACGCATACACAGGTGCACTGCCGTTGCGAGGGTCTTACGCCATGGCCTTGTCGATGTTGGTGTTATCCTTTGCTGAGGTCTTGAACCAGGCAACAAAGTTGTATCGCTCCTTCATCTCCTCAATCTCTGCATCCGAGACTTCGTGGGGTTTCAAATCGCACTGCGAGAACACAAGTGCGCGGCGCGCAGAGGCAGACAACAACAGATGGCACACGAAACGAAGAGAACGCAAGAGGTTACAAAGAACGTGGAAGAACAACATGTGACGGTCAACACAAGACAGCCACACACAAACACACACCCACGCACATACAAACACAAACACACACCCACGCACACCCACGCACACCCATGCACACCACGCACACGCATTGACAAGCACGCGCGCACACCTTGTTTGCCAGCAAGATTGCTGGTACAGGCCCTGTTTCTGACGTGTTCACCTTGGCCTCAACCTCGTCCATCCACTTCTTCACATTCTCAAAGGTTTGCCTTGCTGTGAGGTCAAACACAGTGACACACGCAGACGCGTGACGGAAGTACACTCGGGTCAAGCTGGAGAACTGGTCTTGTCCTGTCCCATAATCGCACACACACACGCGCGCGCGCGCGCATATGCAATCAGTCGTGGAGCAAGATGTGAGTGGATGACGCCCGTGATCATGGCGTGTCGCACATGTCACTCACACACACACGCAGCTCACACACTCACGCACACGCACACACACACACACACACACATACGCACACGCAGACGCACACACTCACACATACGCAAGCATACGCACACGCTCGCAGCCGCACACAAACACACACACGCACACAAACATACGCACACACACACACACGCTCGCACACACTCGCAGCTCACGCACACAGGTTGCCTTACCTGCGATGTCCCACAGCTGCAAGTACACGTCTTGCTTCCCTTTTCGCTCCACCAGCTTCAGCGCAAAGTCCACTGCAACAACAAATCCACGTACACACGATACAGAAATCATGAGCCACTGCAAGGCACACAAGCTCCAAGCTGTGGGGGGAGCATCCACATGCAACAATGGCACACAGGAGTGCCACGAACCGCCGAGTGTCTTCTTGTATCCTTCGTCGAAAGTGCCGAGAGCGTAGCGGCTAATGATCGATGTCTTGCCTGCGCACAACAACCAAGGATCCAAACACGTGAGTCAGCCAGCGAAGACAACGCGGTTTGTGTCTGTGTGTCTGTGTGTATGTGTGTCTGTGTGTGAGTGTAAGTGTGTGTCTGTGTGTCTGTGTGTCTGTGTGTCTGTGTGTCTGTCTGTCTGTCTGTGTGTGTGTCTGCGTGTCTGTGTGTATGTGTGTCTGTGTGTCTGTGTGTCTGTGTGTCTGTGTGTCTGTGTCTGTCTGTGTCTGTGTGGAACGTACCGACGGCGCCGTCGCCGATGACAATGACCTTGTATGGACCATCAGGCTCCAGGTCGTCCGCCATGACGATGGTGTGTGGTGCTTGATGCTGTGTGGATAGAGCAGCGATGCAGACGGATGCGGACGGGTGGTCTCTCCCCTGTTGCAGCGACCAACGGGCAAGCAAGCAAGCAAGCAATCGATCGAGCGAATGAGTGAGCCAGCAAGCTATCGAGCAAGCGAGCCAGCAAGCGAGCCAGCAAGCCAGCCAGCAAGCAAGCCAGCCAGCAAGCACAGAAGCATGTGCTCTGCGTCGGCATCTGTACCTTGACTGCGAGAATAACTGCGAGCGGCTGTTGCTTCCTGGGTGAGCGGCTGCCTTTGCTTGCTGTGGTATTGGGTGTGTGTCACCGTTTTTTCGTTTGTTGCGTTGGTGCTCCTCCTCCAGAAATCATACGACAGCAGCAAGCAAGAAGCAAGACGACACAGGCGACGAAGGACGACACAGGAGCAAGCACACTGAACCAACCAAGCAACACAAGGCAGTGCATCTTCGAGCTCCGCTCGCTCGTAATGGCGTTGAGGGTGTGCGTGGTGACGGTGAGCGACCGGTGCTCGCGTGGGGAGGCGACGGACACCGCTGGCAAGGCCCTGGCAGGGCTGGTGAAGGACCACTTTGGCGCTGAGGCCGTGCGCGTGGAGCGGCTGTGTGTCCCAGATGAGGTGGCGGCCATCCAACAAGCCGTGGCGCAAGCTGCTCTGGCATCGCCAATCACGCAGGAGGGCAACAATCCCAAGACAGACAACAACGACGCCAGCGCTGCAAGCGATGGTGCGCAGAGTGTGAACGACACGAACACCGGTGGTGGTGAAGATGCAGTCAGCAGGCTGGTCATCACTGCAGGTGGCACTGGATGCAGCCCAAGGGACGTGACACCTGAGGCGGTGGCACCATTGCTCACCCGGCCACTGCCTGGTCTGAACCATTTGCTCAGCACTCGGTCACTGGAGGCGACGCCCATGGCGGCCTTGTCGCGGTTCACCTGCGGCGTCACGTCCACTGGTGCCCTTGTGCTGACGTTTCCGGGAAGCGAGAAGGCATGCCGAGAGTGCTTCACGTTTGTTCAGCCTGTGCTGGACCACGCCCTGGACAGCATCGCTGACCACCGCAGTCACACAGAGGCCGTGCACAAGTCCATGCAGCAGGGAGGTGCCCGCCACGGCCACCACGGCCACACACACAGCCACACACACAGCCACACACACAGCCACCACGGCTGCCCGCACAAGAAACACGGTGGTCACCACAAGCATGGCCACCACTCCCACAAACACCACCACGCTCACCAGCACCATGCTCACGACAACCAGCACGACCCGAACCATGAGCACGGGACAAGTGGTGGCAGGACAGTCGCTGACCGCGACCGAAAGTCGCCATGGCCAATGCTCAAGGTGGAGGAAGCGCACGCCAAGATCCGCGCATTTGGCCGCAGTCAGCTGCAGCACTTCAAGTCACGCGTCGAGACAGTGCCCATCCAGAACTGCCTTGGCCGTATCCTTGCACAGGATGTCACCGCCTCTGAGCCACACCCGCGATTCCCAGCTTCCATCAAGGTGTGTGTCTGTCTGTATGTCTGTCTGTGGGTCTGCGCCTGTGTCTGTCTATGTGTCGGTGTCTGTGTCTGTGTCTTTGTCTGTGGGTCTGTGTGTGTGTGTCTGTGGGTCTGTGTATGTGTGTGTGTGTGCAAGCTCGGGTGTGCTGCAGTGATGCCACGAGGATGGAGCGCTTACAACTCACTGCCCGATGTTGTACAGGACGGGTACGCCGTGTGCGTGGGCGACTGCCCCGGCGTGGTGAAGGTGGACGGCCCCATCACTGCCGGCGACACGACAGCTGAGGCGTCACAGCTCCGTCGCGGCCATGCAATTCGCGTCACCACGGGCGCCCCTGTTCCCAAGGGAACGCAGGCGGTCATCCAGGCAAGCTGCATCGTGCCTCTGTGCGAAATGTGTGTCCTTCTGTCTGTGTATGTGTGTGTATCTGTGTGTGTGTGTGTGTGTGTGCGTGCGTGCGCGCGCGTCACCTTTGACTGCGCGCGCTTGACGTGCACACACCTTTGCCTGTGCGCGTTTTGTGTGTTGGTGTCGCCACCAGCTTACAGAGTCGCTGACACCCACCCTTCCCTCCGCCCACATGTTCCGTTCACACATGCCAGGTGGAGGACACGGAGCTTGTGGAGAGGACCGAGGACGGGAGCGAAGAAGCCGCCATTCGTGTCCTCACAGCCGTCACACAAGGACAGGACATTCGCCCCGTGGTGAGAATGCTGTCTGCCTGGATGCACCTCTCTGCCTGTGCCTCTGTTCCGCTGTGTGTCTGTGTCTGTGCTGCTTTCCGTATGTGCCTCTCCGTCTGTGGACCTGCCGCTGCCTGTCTGTCTTCTGTGTGTCTGCCTGCATCTTTGCTGCTCCGCGGGTGCTGTTGCTGTTGCCACCTCCCTCTGTGTCCTCACCCCCACATGCACCACGGTTCAGGGCTTTGACATCGCCGCGGGTGAGGTGGTGCTGCGGGCGGGCGATACCATTGGCCCTGCAGAGCTGGGTTTGCTCGCCACCGTTGGATGTATGTCTGTCAGCGTGAATGCCACACCAGTAGTTGGTATCATCTCCACGGGTGACGAGGTTGTCGATGCAACGACGCCAAGCCTCCAGTACGGCCAAGTCAGAGACAGGTAGGCGCTGCGGGTGTGCCTCTCTGTGTCTGTGTCTGTGTGTGTGCTGTGTGTGTGTGTGTGTGTGTGTGTGTGTGTGTGTCAGTGTCTGTGCTGTGTGTCTGTGCTGTGTGTCTGTGTGTGTGTTTGTCTGAGCCACGCATGCACTTGATTAAATTGCGCGTTAATCTGATATTCACACGTACTCCTCGCCTCCGTTTGCTCCCCTCCCCTTTGCGAATGCAGCAACCGTACAATGCTTGAGGCAGCGTTATCTCGTGCTGGCGTGAGCGTCAAGGACTTTGGGATTGTCAAAGACACAGAAACAGCCCTGCGCAGCACGTTGGCGACAATGACGCGTGAGTGTGACGTCATCATCACATCAGGGGGCGTGTCCATGGGCGAAAAGGATCTCATCAAGGGAACCATTGCGGACCTTGGTGGCGCCATCCACTTTGGGCGCGTGTTCATGCGGCCTGGCAAGCCCACCACCTTTGCCACGCTTCCACGCGCAGCTGCCGCCAGCAGCGACCGCAAACAGGACGGCGACGATCATCACGTCGCATTCTTTGGTCTTCCAGGTGTGTCGGTTGTCTGATTGTATTTGTGGTACTTGTGGTTGCATGTGGGTGCTTGCATGTGTGTGTGCGTGTGCGTGATGACATGTGTGCTTGCATGTGTGTGTGCGTGTGCGTGATGACGTGTGTGCGCTTGCCTCAGCCTGCATGCTTTCCTCACTCCCTGCGCTTGCCTTGTCCTGCACCTCCTCCTTCTTCTTCTTTTCTCCTCACCTTTGTCCCTCTCCTACTCGTTTGTTGTCATCTTGCGTCGTCCTGCCTATGTTGTTCCCAAGGCAACCCCGTCTCGTGTCTCGTTGCATTCAACCTCTTTGCCGTCCCACTCGTACGTCTGCTCGCCGGCGACCCCTCCCCGGACCACACCACCGTCAACGTTCGAACGAGCGCCGCCCTACACTTCGACGCCCGCCCTGAGTTTCATCGCGCCACCCTGTCATACACCGCTCCAGGTTCGCCCTTTCATGTCTGCGTGCATGTGGGTGGGTGTGGGTGTCTGTGTCTGTCTGTGTGCTGTGTGGCTCTGCTTCACCACGTGTGATTCACTGTTCTCACGCCTGTGCTGCACCTGCCAACCACCACCCACAACAACAACAACAATAACGACAACAACAACAACAACCCAACCCCCTTCAATGGTGAAGATGGTGTTGCTGTTGCCACGTCGACCGGGTCGCAGTGCAGCAGTCGGCTCCTGAGCATGCGCTCTGCCCAGTGTCTCCTCGCACTTCCGCCCGCAACAGACGCCACAACCGTCATCAGCAAGGGCGAGCTTGTTCCCGCGATTCTGCTGTAGTGGCTGACAGCATTGTGCAGCCACTGCTGCTACTGGTAGTGTTGTGAAACATGTGTGTGGGTGGGTGGGTGTGTCTGTTTGTGTGGGGGGGGGGTGGCTGTCACATCGGATGTCATCAGCACAAGCAGCTTTTCATGCAAATGACAAACAGTTGCTTGAGTGTTCCGGGGCAGTGATTGTACTCAAGGGTGTTGGATAACCCAACATAAACGAAGCATCACCATCACACGAGAAGGGATCAGCACGAATGAAGGGTCAACAGAGACACCACGCACACACACACACACACACACACACACACACACACACGCATGACGTCCACAGACAAAGCCAAGCCTGAAAATCTCATATCGCACACATGACAGTACACCCAGCATCCAACCACGAACGCGCACAGTCACCGACGCGTGGCGTGGTGTGACATGACATACATAAGCAAGCACACAAGCAACCAATTGACACATACAAAAGAAAGCACGCAAGAAAGCAGCACATCCATGCAAGCAAAGCAAGTGTGAAGCAGCATGGAAACAACATCATGGAGAAAGAAACAAAGCGTCAGCCCCCGTGCAACTTTGTGTGCTCAGGCAATGGGGGCGTAGGCAGCACGCTGGCGGTTGCGCCTGTACGTGATGACGACACCCACGGCGGCAACAATGGCGCACGCAGCACCAACGGCACCGACAGGGGCAACCCACGAAGGCAGGCCGCGTTGGGTGGCGGCAGGTGCCGCGTCGCGTGCAGCAGCAAGGTCAGCCGTGCCAACAACGAGGCGTGCGTTGACAAAGCCAGACGTAAGCGTGGACGCAGCGGAGGTGATGGTGTCACGGACAGCCATGGCCTTGAGGATGGTTGCATACGACCACGTGAGGTCTGTGGCGCTGGCCTCGGCGCCCGTGTTCTTGTCGAGCTGCTCGGGCTGGTGCAGGTCGTTGTTGATGGTGTGTGCACGGATGCGGTTCAGCACACCGTCACCGCTCAGCACGAGGGCGCGGGCGAGCCCGGCTGGCGTGTCCATGTCCAGGTTCTCTGCAGCGACAGCAGCTGGGTTGAGCTGTGCGGCAATGGCCTTGAAGTGCTCCGTGGCTTCTGCAGTCGGCATGCGGCGCGTGGCGGCGGTGCTGTTGGCAGCGCGATAGAGGACCTCAGCCAGACACCCGCTCGTCAGGACCCATGGGTTGCCGCCTGCCGTGTACACACGCGCATGGAAAGTGCATGATGCATGAATGTGAGGGGGGGGGCACCAGAGATGCGGAAAATCAAAGATGGTGGCGTGCTGGCAAGGTGACGACCAAACACCGTCACACCAACACACATACCAACACGCAACCAGCAAAGAGGAGGCCAAGGCATGCAGCCGCACGCACCTGCGTACTGATCGCCGCTGTAACGGCCGTAGAGGATGCCGGGAACGCCGGCAGCGTCGTCCTTCTGGTTGATGGGGAACGACGAGGAGAAGAGCGAGTTGAGGGTGGAGATGGTGCCTGCAACCTCGGCACTGCCACGTGAACCAAACAAAAAAAAGGTAGTGGAGAGGGTGAGAGGATGTGGTTGTCGAGAGAAGAAGTGGGAGGGGGTGGAGGGTATGTGAGGAGGAGAACGCAGATGGGGGGGGCTGGCAGAGCAACGAAGGATTGGAGGGATCGACAAGTAAAGCAGGCGCGATGCGTGATGGCGCAGTGTGCAAGTTCACACTCGTGCGTAACACACCTGTTGGGGGCGAACACGCCATCGTTCAGGTTGCCATCGTTGAATGCGCAGATGACCGCAGCATCCTGCTGCCTGTTGTCCGCCTCAAACACAAACTGCACGTGCGTGCGGTTTGCGGCGGTAACGTCAGTGCCAGGTAAGAACAAACCATGTGTGAGTAAGCAGCGATTTGTGTGCAACCACATGCGAGCACGTCCGGTGCACAGGGTGAAGGTGCATTCAGCTCGAATGTTGAGACGCAAACAGAGCGGCACGACAACACGATGAAACGACAAGACACACACACACATACACACACCTGCCCGTTGTAGTGGCGCTGGAGGGTGGGGCTCAGGCTGGCGAGCACGCGGCCGTACGCCTGGCTGGACTGCGAGTCGCCCATGGCCTGGGCAAAGGCAACGCCTGGTGTGGGGAGGGGGGTCGGGATTTGGGATTCGGGGTGAGTGTTGTGCGATAGAGCTAGTTGGTGGTTTTCGTGGTGATACGAAAGCAAGCATGCGTATGCACACACGCACCCACATATGCACGGAAAACCGCAACAACGCACCCACAAACACGACACATCTCGCGCGCGCAAGCAGAGTTGTGTGTGTGTGTACCGTTTGTGAGGGCCTTGCGCATGGTGTAGCGGTTCCAGAAGAAGTCGTTGGACTGGACTTCCTCCCACAGGTCGCAGGAGTTCTGCTCCCAATTGTTGGCGATCCAGTCAAGGTCGTGCTGGTTGTGGCGGTCGTGGTGGTAGTTTGGAGATAAGGACGCGTACATGAGAAGTTTGGCTGGTTGGTTGGCGAGTTGTACATTGCCTTGTTTGTGTGTTGAGAGCCGGTGTATATGTGTACACGGAGGGGGGGGGCAGCAGCAGTCACAGACATGTGCGGCCATGGTGGCAGGCTGTGGAAGCAGTGAGTAACGTGAACATTGCCCGTCAGCTGGTGCTCACCTTGATGGCGCCGCCGTAGTACGAGGATGAGTCGCCGGTCCACAGGTACTGCATCACAAAGTCCTTCTGGCCACGCTGGATCAGGTCGTTGGCATATGCGATGAGGGTGATGGCGCGGAGCCCAGGGGCATCCGTCTGCGGACGGCACCAGCCGCCTGTGTCATCGTGTTGACAGGGAGAAGGGTGAGGCGGCATCAGTGGGCAGTGTGTATGAGTGCAGTGTGTATTTGATGGGCAATGTGTAGGCGGTGTGTGCAGGCGAGGGCACTGGGTGACAGGGTAGCAACGCATGCCTCGTGTTTCGTGCATTCCATACCGGTGTATGGTGTGCCAGATGGCAGCTCAAACTTGGGCTCGATGCGCACGTCGATGTTGTTGGGGTCAGACTCAGCGTGGCTGCAGTTCGATGTGGGGGGGGGAAGGGGGCACGTGCGCAAGTGAACAAGCAGGCGTGAGTTGTCGATGTGTGTTTGCGTGTGTGTGAGAAGAGGGGCCATAAAGCATTGCTCGTGTGCAGGAGGTGGGGACGATCGTGTGCAGCGGAACGCACCGAGCAACAACCCATTTCGTGTAATGCTGCATCTGCGTGTCGTAGTCGCTGGCAGAAGAGGATGTGATCTGCATGGATATGTTGACAGGGCTCAATTAGCACAGGTTTTACAATTGGGTTGCGCGTGCTCGCCCTCGCAACTCACACTTACATATAGCACACTTGACACAAGGTGAGGGAGAGGGCTGACCTGGAAGGCATGCATGGTGAGCGCACCATCGCGGGCCCAGTGATAGTAGTAGCTGCCGCCTGGCGTGTTGGGGTCTGGGCTGGCGACGACACCGCCGGAGCCTTGGATGTCGATGTTCTTCAGGAAGTAGCCGCGCATCTTCTCAACCTCGGACTTGGAGAACGGGGCCTGGCCTGGTGGTGGTGGTGGAGGTGGTGGCGGAGGTGGTGGCGGTGGTGGGCCCGAGCCCTTGTAGAAGCACCATGGGGTGGATGAACCTTGTCCATCTGGCTGCCAGCAGCAGCCCTTGGCCTCGCATTGTTGCTGGTTGATGCCCATGTACCCACAGTCCTGCATGCGCGTTGCGTGTGTGTGTGTGTGTGTGTGTGTGTGTGTGCGCGCGTTGCGTGTGTGTGTGTGTGTGTGTGTGTGTGTGTGTGTGTGCGTGTGTGAAGAACAGAACTCATCTCCAATCACCTTCAACCAAACGTGTAGCACAAGATAACACGCCAGCCGCGGGTACAGTGGCAACAAGCACATGACTGCGTTGGTGTTGTGTACGACATACCTTCTTGCTTGGATCGGGGACCTGGCAGGTGTCAGCGGCACACTGGGCCGTCAACACCCCGAGAACAACAGCAACAACAGTGGTCGCCAGCAGCACAGCGCGAGCCATCTTGGGTGGTGTTTTGGAGACGAGAATGTTGGAGAGTGGCGAATAAATTGGAGGGGCGGCCAGAAAAGACCTGCCGCGCAATTCAAACGACGGCGTTTGTTGTCGTTGTTGTTGTTGTTGTTGTTTAAGTTGTTGTTGTTGTTGTTGTTGTTGTTGTTGTGTCCCCCCCCCCCCCCCCACCCCCCCTCAATGTAAATTGACTGCTCCCGGGGCCGTGCAATCCCCATGCTCCTTCAGTGAAAAACAAAGTACACACTCGCGTTCAGTGCAAAGTGTGGTGGGCCAGAGCACACACACACACACACACACACACACACACACACACACACACACACACACACACACACACACACACACACACACACACAACTGTGCCGTCTTCATGCAAACGTGAAGCATCCACCCAGAACAACAGTTGAGGACCAAACGTCACTGCACTTTAATTTGCTCAACAGCAGCCGGGCAGATTTGTTTTTGTTTTTTCCCTTCCTCCCATCTGCTTCGTCCAGGGTCGCATGGATGCAATGGAACACACAAGTACTCATATGTGACTCGTTCAGCTGCGACTTCAAAAACACACCAATACAAACCCTAAGACAGCAACCATCAAAGTAGTAGACATTTATTTATCGACACACGCGCGCATTCACTGACAGTGGACATGGGAGCAGTACACAGCACGAAGCGCAGGCCACATCTCCGCATCTGCTTGTACAAGAAGTGCTTCGGGGATGCCCAGTACAATGGGATCCGAACACGATAACGTGCCAACATCATCAACCAGCGCAACAACTGGAAGGGCTTGTCGGTGCTGGTGTTGTTGCTGGTGCTGCAGTCCTTTCACCACACCACCGCGACCTTCATCGCTCCCACCACCACTAACACCACCAGTACTACCACTGCCGTGTACGCGCGCAATGACGTTGCCGACCGCCCACATGGCGACGGGTGCAGCACGAGACAGCAGCGCGGGGCCTGTGGCAGAGGATGAAGGAGATGGCGGGACGTCAAGGAGGCGACAGCGGATGCAGTCAAGCGCTGCCGCCCACGCAGCACCCGTGATACCACGCGGGTACATGTCTGACAGGTGTGCGATGAGGGGCGAAAGGTCTCCCAGCACTGCCTGGTCCTCAGCACGGGACTGCGCCACCATGGCATCAACGACCTTGCCACCACCACCACTCTCACCGCCCTGGTGCAGTACATCACCAACATCAACGCCGCCTGCCTTCAGTTTGGGCTTCTTCAGCACCTGCTCGCAATCATCACCACCACCATCATCACCATCACCACCATTATTATGCTCCTCCTCCTCCTCCTCCTCCTCCTCCTCATCATCATCATCATCATCATCATCATCATCATCATCATCATCATCATCATCATCATCATCATCATCATCATCGACGTCGTCGTCGTCTGTGCGGCCACGACGGCGCACGTGCTGCGCGATGCACGGGCGAAAGGGGTCCAGAACCGCCGCCACATCTGGGGAGGAGAGCTTGGCGAGGAGCACGAGGGCAAATGCGTAGTCTGGCTCCAATCCTTCAATGTTGGCCAACAGCAGTGCTGCGCCATCAGAGAGTGATGTCAGCACATCCAGTGTAAGCACAGTTGCCGTCGCCACCACACGTTCACCACCACCGATGTCATTGCCACTGCTGCTGCCAGTGGCGTTGCTGGCAACGCCCCCATCATGCACAGCATGCGGCTCATCATCCACACGCTCAAACAGCATGTGCCCATCCAGGCCCTGTTGCTGCACCAGCTGCACCCGCTGGCACTGTCGTTGCTGCTGTTGCTGTTCCATCGCTGCACATCCGCGAACAATCAGCTCTCGCTCGAGTGTCGTGCGCATGTACACAAGCGCAGCATCCATCAGTCGCGTCTGCCCCTGGAGGAAGCGTTGTACCATCTGCAGCTGTCGCCGCAATGCCCGCACACCCTTGCCCGTCTGCACAGCACCCACACCACCACCATCACCATCAGCGCCATCAGCACCATCATCACCATCACCATGACCATCACCGTCAACACCAGCATTGCCATCACACATGGCCAGCAAGGCGTTGCATTCGCGCAGCAGCTGCGTGTGGTGTGCGAGTTTGGAAGTCAGCATGGTCCTTGCCTGCAAGCACACGGCTCTTGCCCGCATCACAGTCACGCCATCGAGGGGAAGGAGAGGCGCACGTGCACGTGTTGAAGAGTCACTTGCAGTGACTGCAACGCCCTCAACGTGGACGCATGCCTCCGCACCTCCAACGACATCATCACCAATAGCAGCGGCGATAACACTGCAGGCAGCATCCACCACACTGGTGGCCACAGGGTCACGCGCAACACTGCGCGGTGCCCGTGCGTGCACTTGTGGTGCCAGCGGAAAGGGTGTGCTGTGCATGACGATGGAGAGTGCCTGCAGCAGCTTTGTCACGTCGGCCAAGATGGAGGCCGCGTGAATGGAGAGCCGCAGGCCGCGTGGCGTTATCGTGCCCAGCGCGGCAAAGGCAGACGACAGATCAGCAGCAGCAGCACAGGCACTGTCTATCCCAGCGGCAGCGTCGTGAGCGGGCGCGCTTGCGTCCATCGCGTCACGGTTCGTGTCACCAACACCAACACCATCTTCTTGGTGATCAGCATCACCGTCGGCAACATCGACATCGTCATCAGCAGCGACGAGCTGTTGCTGCAGGGATGCAGGCAAGCCCAGCATGACATGCATGTCGTCGTGCTTGTTGTTCGGCAGAGCAAACCCGTACGCAAGCATGAGCTCTTCATTTCCTTTGCCGCCATAGTTGTTGAAGACAGGCTCGCCTGGCGCCACGGCCTCTCGTGTGATGAGCCGCACGTGCGTGCCCGTGTTGCGCCACGTGACATCTGCCTGCGGGTCATGATCAAAGAGGTCGAGCAGCGGCAGCAAGCACGGCGTGTGCGCCAGCACAGGAAACGGTGCCACCGTCACCACACTCTTTGATGTGCGCGTGCTGCTCTGTTCGTCGCTGGCGGATGTTGGTGTGTCGCCATCCACGATGCCGAGATGCAGGAGATGAATGACTGTGTCCGGCTGCGACACGCGTCCAGAGAGCGCACGGGAAGAGATGGTCTCCGCAGCCCACACGTATGCGTCAAGGGTGAACGCAGCTGCGTGCTGCGGCCACTTGTGCTGAAGCCAACGGCAGATCGTAGCGGCGGTGCGCGCGGTGGCATTGCGACGGTCAATGGTGGCGTGGTGCAGGTTTGTTCCGCGCAGGAGATGCAGCGCTCGTTCATCAAACGTCATTGTGGTCAAGTTGTGCTTTGGCAGTGAGCTCAGGTACCCATGCCACTTACTCCTGCGATGCAAACACGCGCGCACACCATGCAAGTGCGTGAACGTCGCGTGTGCATGTGTATGTGTATGTGTGGGGTGCAGAGGCGTGAGGTTGGTTGGTTGGTTGCTCCACGAGAAGATCAGCGCACAGACACACAGACACAGATGCGCAGATGTACACGTACACGGACGGACAGACAGAGAAACAGACAGGCAGGCAGACACAGACAGGCACAGACACACAGACACACACACACACAGACACACAGACGCACACACACACACACACACACACACACACACACACACACACACACACAAACACACGGACATACACACGCACAGACACACAGACACACAGACACACACAGACACACTCACGTTGGGTTGGAGGCGTGAAAGACGATGGCCGTGGCAAGGGCGATGGTACCGATATCATGGCTGTCGTTGTCGGTATCCAAATCGCGTGGCAGGTCTTCCACGAGCGCATGAATGACGGCGCAGGGACATGTGCATGCCGCCGACTGCTTCGCGCCAATGTCCTGCGATGGCGGCGTTGGGCTGGCTGCGAGAGCACACGGCTCCAAGTGCGTCTGAAGCACGTTGTGCAGGGACATGACGGCGTCCTGCGGCACTGTCACCAACACGATGCCATGTTCGTCAGCATCATCATCATCATCATCGCCGTCGCCCGTTCTTCTCACCAGTGCCTCCACAGCTTCCACGTGCACTTGTTCGCCCTCTTGCTTGTCTTCATCGTCGCCGCTTGCGCTCCGACACAGCCGCAGCCCTTTCACCAGCGAGCACCCAAGCACATCCGCCCACGCAGGCTGCCGGGCTGGCTCCATGTGGCATGTGGCACGTGGTGTTGGGTTGGTGTGTTGGTGCATGTGCTTTGCTTTGCTTGTGCTTTGCGTTTTGCACATCATCAAAAGGTCGGCATGTCACGTCGTGTTGCAGCATTCACATTCATTCATTGAGGGGGCTGACTACAACACAGTTGCACTTGCTGGAGAACGAGGCAACGGCTGCTGGGAGTAACGAGTGGCACCACTGAAACGCACATATACACATACACACATACACACATACACACGTGCCCATCCACACATCACACGTGCGAGGCTGGCTCCTGCTGCTCACCATCCACGTTCAAGTTCTTCACGCCATTGCCATTGCCAGCACCATCACCAGCACCACTGCTGTCCGCGCGGCTGTGCCCTGTGCTCCCTGCTCCCACGCTCAGGGAGTGCATGGCTGGCAGCGAGATGTTCGTCGACCGGAACTCAGCAGAGTCCATGCCTTTGGGCAGGTGGTGGTGGTGGTGGTGAGTGAGTGAGTGAGTGAGTGAGTGAGTGAGTGTGTGTGTGAGTGAGTGAGTGAGTGAGTGAGTGAGTGAGTGAGTGAGTGAGTGAGTCTGGTTTCTTGTGGGAATGCATGACGCTTGGTCTGAGACAGCACAAAGAATGCGTACCGAGGCCAAGGTCCACAAGCTCCGGGTCAAGGTTCAAATGCGTTACGCAGATCTGCACACAGCAACATCAATCAAGGGTTGACGGAAGAGACATGAATGCACGCAGGACTGCAACTTGTATCACCACAGACAGATAGACAAACACACACACACACACACAGACACACACACACAGACACACACACAGATACACACACAGATACACGCACACAGACACAGACACAAACACATACACACTGACACACAGACACACACACACAAGCAGGGGGCGGCACGCACGCTGCGGAGGTGGATGCGGAGATCGTCCTGTGACCAGAGAATGTGGCGCAGGGCAGGGTGGTCCTCGGCCTCACGCATCACGTCCAGGTTGCTCTCCTGACGCATACGATGTGTGCACGGCAGCGGTGTTGGTAGTGGTGGTAGGGACGAGAGATGTGCACGATGCAGGGGGAAATTCCAAGGGGAGGGGGGCATCAATCAATCAATCACAGGCGACAACAGCAACAAAACCCCACACAGGCGGGCGGACGAAGAGATACACCCACACGACAATCATTGAACACACTCAAACAAAGACATACACGTGCACATGCACAAACACAAACACAAAACGTACATAAACATACAAACACAGACAGACAGACAGACACACAAACACACGCACAGAGACACACGCACAGAGACACACACAGACACACACACATGCCACCGCGTGCAGACCTGCTTGCGGAAGAAGAGGCGGGCCATCATGTCACGGCCTGGGAGGCGTTTGGCGAAATTGCGGTAGCGTGCGCTGAGGATGCTGGCACACTTCTCGTAGCATTGGTCCCTGTTGCTGAACTGCGCAAAGCCTTCGTCGAGGGCAAGGTCAAACTTGGTGTTGAGGAAGCACACGGGCGCGCTCGAGTGCTGCAACAACAGCGCCATCTGTGCACGGATGATCGCACGCGTGTGAGCAAGGGAGAGCCAATTGTTTGAGTAATCACGATCACACGCAAGTGCTTCCGCCCGCCCACATGCACACATGTACGCCACACAACACGCAACGCACCTGTTCAAAGCCAGTGTTCCAATCTCGGAAGCCATCCGTGGCCGGGAGTGCAACAACCTGTGCAGCAGTGCCAAGCGAGGGAGAGTGAATTGTTGGGGGGGGGGGGGTAAGACAAGGCGTTGGAGGAGCGACCAATAAAGACACAGAGGGGAGAGCAGGGAAATGGTCAACCGAGACCACCACAGGCAAACAGACACATCAACGCATGGTGATACAGACAGACAGACAGACAGACAGACAGACAGACAGACAGACACACACACATACACACACAAACACACACACACACACACACACACACACACACACACACACACACACACACACACACGCGCGCGCGCGCGCGCGCGCGAATTCCTGTCACCCACAATGTATTGTGCAAGGCGGAGAAGGGATGGGAGATACATGTCGACGGCACGACGGAAGACGTAGTGACTATCCTGCGCCTGCGTAGTGTTGATGAACTTGTCAAACTGGCCCTGACGCGCGCGCTCGTTGAGCTGAAATGTACCATGCAGATCGCGTGACAGCGGCAGACTTGTGTGAGGTGGGCAGTCAAAGAAGAACACACACTCAGAAGCAGGCGCGCACAGACACAGGCACAGGTATACCAAAGGACAGACAGACACACAGACAGACACACACAAACAGACACACACACACAAACAGACACAAACGCAGATACGCAGTCCCCCCCCCCCCACACACACCTGATGATGGTCTCTCTCCAGGGCTTCGTTGCGGCCAAAGCAGTCGACAATGAAGGCGCCACACGTGCCGAGCGGAAACGCATCAAAGACTTTGGTGCTGCCTGAGTAGTGGTAGATCTGCGCCTCAAAGCCAAGTTGCTTGAGGATGGTGGACTTGCCAGCCTGCTGCGGACCAACAACAGCAATGATGGGCAGCTTTGTCAGGCTCAGGCTCAGCGGACGGCGGATGCCAGTCACTGCACACACGAGGGTGTTGTGGTTTACGTTGTTGTTGTTGTTGTTGTTGTTGTTGTTGTTGTTGTTGTTGTTGTTGTTGTTGTTGTTGTTGTTGTTGTTGTTGTTGTGGTGGTGGTGGTGGTTGCAGGTGAGCGAGCGTATGTTGATTGTGACGGAGGCGTTGGCAAAGGGGTCGTTGGTGGGGGAAGATCACGGATGGACTTGCAACGCCACAACCAACAATCACAACCACAACAAGCAGACACGACCACAACCAGGAGTAATACAGCAATGACTAACGCACCGCCACGAATCCACTGGCAAATGGTGTTGTAGCTGAAGGAGTTGTCCATGTACGCCTTGCACTTGCTGTTGGACCGCTGGGCCGGTAGGATCCCGGCTTCAGGAAGTTTCTTCCGGAAGGACTCGCACACGCGGCGGCAGCCCTCAGACTTGAAGTTTCCAAGGTCATTTTGTGGATCAAGGGCGAACAACAGGCCTTCGTAGCTGCTCACATGACACCAAAACGACAAAAGAAGGAAAAGAGGGGAAGGGAGCAGGGGGTGATGGTGTGTGTGTGTGTGTGTGTGTGTGTCAGTGGTCAGTTCTGAGTTAGGGCGATTTGTACATCAAGCAGTGTGACATACACACACACACACATACACACGCACGCATGCACACGCACACACACAGTCCTCTCCCCTCTCCTCCAGTGCAGGTCTTCCAACGCACTCGATATATTTCTCGTCGACGCCGTGTGCGCGCTGCTTCGGTTTGTCGACGTCGCTGATCGTCATCGCCTCCAGCAGCTCCTCAGCCACATCCTCCGGCTTTCGCACGCGGTTGTCTGGCGTATGGCAGGGCGTGTTGTGTGTGTGTGAGTGAGTGAGTGAGTGAGTGAGTGAGTGAGTGAGTGAGTGAGTGAGTGAGTGAGTGAGTGAGTGAGTGAGTGAGTGAGTGAGTGAGTGAGTGAGTGAGTGAGTGAGTGAGTGAGTGTGTGTGTGTGTGAGTGAGTGAGTGTGTGTGTGAGTGAGTGAGTGAGTGAGTGAGTGAGTGAGTGAGTGTCTATGTGCCTGCGTCCATGTGCACGTGTGCGTAATCTTGCGCGTCTGTATCCACAATTCACCTTCTGTATCCGGAAGGAAGCGGCTCAGGAGCGTCAGTTTTGTCGTCAGCGGACCAAGCTCACGCTCGCCTGCACCCAGGAAGGCGGCAGAGAGATGGGAGGGGAAAAGTGTGAGAGCAGATGATGGTACTGCTTCGCGGGAACTTGGACAGGCAAGAACACACACACACACACACACACACACACACACACACACACACACACACACACACACACACACGACACACACACACACACACACACACACACACACGCACGCAGACTGAGCAAACACAATAGCAACAAACGCAACCCCCCCCCCCCAATGCAAAGCAACACGCTGATTCCTCATACAAACAAACAAACAACACCACAAATTACCAATGTCGCTGATGGCGGCGAAGCGGCGGCGGCGTTTGCGAAAGTGCAGTCGAGCAGCACACTTCTTTGCAAACCCTGTTTTGGAGGAGGGGAGCGCCATCTGCGTGCCGTGGCGAGCGCCCACGTGGTACGCAGGCATCTCCTCCTCTGCCTCCGATGGCATGAGGCCAGCCATCACGCGCACGACGGAGAGGAAGGCGTTGGTGGGCCACTCGGCGAGCGCAGTGAGCATCGTGTCCGTGTTCCTGCTGCCGCCACGCCGCGTCTCGTGCAGAATAATGCGCCCATCCTGATGCGCGGCGAGGGAGCACACAAACAAAGTGGTATCAAGGTCAGTCCAAATCAATGCAAACACACCAATATCCAACAAACACAAGGACACAAGGACACAAGTAAATAAGTAAATAAGAACACAAGTACACGAGTACAAAGTACACACACACACACACACACACACACACACACACACACACACACACACACACACACACACACACACACAAGACAGGCACGCACGAAGAAAGTGCTGAAGAGGTCCACGAGGTCCTCCATTTCATAGAGAAGATTCATCATGTGCGGCTCGTTCGTCTTGAGGGTCCGGTCATCCACCTCCTTCATCTTCTCAATCGCACTCATCAGAGACGCGCGCTTGTGTCGCAACGTCGCACGCAGCATACAGCAAACGGAAACGAGGTGAGGACCGGAAAACAAAAGAGCACATTTCCAGTTGACACGCCCAATCACATGCAAACGCAAGAGTCAAACACCACACACACAACTACCCAACACAAACACACACACACATGCACAAACATACACCTACCCCAAACACACACACACAACCCAACACGAACACACAAACACACACACCCGCACACCCACACACCCACGCACCCCCCAACCACACACCCACACACACACACACACACACACCTTGTCTGCGCCGGCATCAAAGGCGTAGCTGCCAAGTTCGCCAAAGAGATACTCCATAGGGGGCTGCATCTCATCCTCAGACCCGCGCGGGGCCGGCAGGAGAATGTTGTCCACGTGGTCTGGCCACGCCGTTGCAAGCAGACTGTGCAGCAGTTCGCACTGCTTCGCGCTGAGATAGAGGTTCTTCAGCTTGACACGGTTGACGTCCTTGTACTGTTCACGAAGCGTGATGCTGTCTGGGGTGGCGTTCTGGTGCTGCACGGACACGCGATATGTGCTGGCGACGATGCGCCAGTACTCGCGTGCGCGGTTCTGCAGCTCCCAGCGCCGCCGCAGCACGTGGTGCGTCTCGTGCCCGCTCGACACGCCCTGGCCACTCAGTTCTGTCTCATCGTCCACAAGCGCCTTCGTCGTGTCCCAGTGCTCCCAGCGGTACAGGATGCTGAGCAGCGAGTTGTAGGAGCGCGCTTCATCAATGAACATGGCGTCGTGCTCAATGACCTCCTCCACGCGCGTCCAGAAGTCGTTCCACTCGCTTGCGCCGACCCGAGCAAGCATGCCGCCATCGCCACCACCTCCGGTGTCTTTGCTCTTCTTGCTCTTGTTCGTCGTCTGCTTCTTCTCCTCACCACCGCCGCCGCCACTACCATTACCATCACCACTGCCCTGTGTTGCGGCCGTAGCGTTCGTGTTTGCGGTGGCCTGCGCGTCGCGTTCCTTCTCCTTCTCTTTCGCCTCCGTCTCGGCAACAAGCCGTTTGTGGCGCAGGTGGGCCTGGCGCAGTAGTACCATGCGCAGAAACAGCATGCGTGCAAGTTCGTCCGAGGGTTTCAGGTAGAAGAACTCCGACAGCTTCACCTTCTCTGAGTTGGACGTCAGCTCGTCGGCGGTGATGGGGATGACCTGCACGCTGAACACGGACGTGATGCGGAGGTCAACGACCTTGTCCGTGAGCTTGCAGGCAACGGACGCGCCAAACGCCTGAATGCCTAGGATGGAGCTGGCCTGGCTGCTGTAGTTGAGCTCCATATCAATGTCTAGTTGTGACTCATCGCGATACACATCCACAAGGACAATGTCGCCCTCGCTGTCCTTGTCTGCCTGTCCTTCCTGCTGCTGCTTCTGGTGCTGCGTTCCCGCTGTTGATGATTGCTTCGTCAGCACTTTTGCACCGGGCAGTGTCCCTGCGGACCGGGAGGAGCGATTCTGCTGCGGCGATTGGTGGGAGTGTTGGGCGGACTGCTGGGCCACCTGTCCATCGCCACCGCCCACCATGGACTCGCGGGCATTGCCATCGTCGTCAGCGCCAAACTCACGGAAACAGATGACGTGCTGCGCACCGCTGCCGCTGTCACCGTGGTCGTAACCGCCACCACCGCCACCACCGCCATCGCTGCCCTTCTTGCGGTGGTGGTTGTGGCGGTCTTGCATGGACACGCCATCGTGCTCGCCACCGCCACCGTTGCCGCTGCCAGAACCGACGCCGCTGCTGCCCGTGGCGTCCCCTTGCTGCTGGTGCTGTGCCGCGTGCTCGCTGTGCCGGCCGTGGTGGTCGCGTCTTGTGCCGTGCTGCGGCGTCAGCACATCAATGCGGCGGATGTGCGAGAGGTTCCACCCGTACAGGCACAGGTGCAGCGTGCGGTCCTTGAGGTGCACGACCTTCTTCGTGATCTCCACGTCCAGGCCTGGTCGCGGTCGCCATGACTCATCAGCAGCGTCTGTTCCGGCCCCGCTCGTCACGCTTGCACTTCGTGGTGGTGGCGCCAGTGCGCTGGTTGTCGCCGTCGTCGCCTCTGTGGCTGTGGTGGCTGCACCTGGTGTGTTCTCGCTGCCGTCACCACCACCGTCTTCCTGCTTCTTGCCAGTGGCGGTAGCGGTGGCGGTGGCAGCAGCAGCTGCTGGGCCGTTGCCTGCAAGCAAGCGCGTCTTGCCGGCTGTGGGTGGTGTTGGGGTCATGGCTTGGCGCAGCTGCACCTCGTTGCCAATGTGCTCGGCGTACGTGGCGATGCTGTGGTACTGCAGACTAGAACAGATTTTCAGGTACATGTCAATGTCCTTCTTGCGGGAGAAGATGCGGGTGATCTTGGTGCTGACGCTGCTGCCTGTTCGCGCCCAAATGCTTTCCAGCTTGGCTGGGGTGCCCAGCTGCAAGACCCCGTCCCCGCTACTGTCCTCCTCATCCAGGATCCACACGCTGACGCCCATCAGCCCAGCTTTGACCGTGTTTGTAACCTCGCGCAGCGTCTGCTGGTGCACATGCACGGGCTCACGATACCGCCGCACATCAAGCTCATCCAGGTACTCCTGCACGTCCCACTGGGCAGCGACGGCGCGGTGTTGGCACAGCACCCTGTGCAGTTTGCGCTGGGAGCTCTCACGCCGCGCCACCGCGCACGCAATGTACGGCACGCGGTCTTGCGTGCTGTACACCTGGTGCACGTGCGCCCGCGCCCACAGCATCCAGTCTGTGCGCAGCGTCTTGCGGCGCGTCGGCAGTGGGGGTGCCCCAAACGTGACGCAATACAAGCCCTGTGCCAGTTTCAGATGCTCCGGCAGCTCGCCAGCACGCGCTTCTTCGCTGCCATGCTCGTCATCACCACCGCCATTTGCTGACGATGTTGTCGTGGCGGTGGACCCTGTTGTCGTCCCTGCACCGCCACTGGTGTTGCCGGTTGCTGCTGAACCTGTTCCTGTTGTCGATCCATCTGTCCCAGCAGCTGTTGTGGCGCCATCACGCTGGCCCGCCACCGCGCTGTAGCGCTGCGAGCTGCGGTTTGAGGTGCGGTTTGAGTCGCGGCGCCGGGCCGCACCAGTCAAAGGCGCTGTTGGTGATGATGATGACGACAGCCCTGCAGTCGTGGACGTGGGCACGCCCTGCGCGTCGTCATCGTGCTCGTCCCCCTGCTGCCGCTTGCCTGCAAACATGCCGCCAAACAGGCCCAGCGACGTCTTGGCAGTCACGCTCGCCACGTACTCGGGCGACGGCTCAAGGGCATCCAGCACGCGCTCGGTGAAGATGCGTGCCATGAGCCCGCCATAGCTGTGCCCAGTCACCACCACCTGCACCTGCGCACCAAGCAGCTTGAGCACAAAGTCTACACTGACAAGGGACGCGCGCTGGCGCAGGGCGTGCTCGCTCACGTCCTGGCCCAGCGGCGGGGAGAGGAAGGTGATGATGAAGCGTTCGGCGCCAATGTATGGGTCACGAAGCTCCGCGCCAGCGGGTGTCACCTTGTACCGGTATGCATCGCGCATGCACAGCATCACGGGCAGGCCCTGCGCGTCCTCCACGTGCATGGAGACGCTGCTGACACGTGCGCCGAGCGTTGGCGCTGCCGACGACGACGATAATGACGATGATGCTCCCGTGGCCGTGCTGGCAGTGCTCGTGCCCGTGCCCGTACCGCTGCCTGTTGTGCCTGTGTGGGTGGCGGATGAAGCAGATGTGCTGTCGTGCTGCCCAGAGTAGCTGCTTGTGCTGTCGAGGGCATGGCGCGTTCGCCCCTTTCGACCGCCGCTGCCACCGCGTGATGAGGAGGAGTGGGCGCCACCACCAACATACGCGCTGGTGTCCAGCTCCAGACCCGTCCCGTTGCTGCTGAGCACGGCTGGTAGGGACTGCACGAGCTCAAACCCGCGGTTGAACCACTGGCGATATGTCTTGCCGCGCGTAATCTCTTCGCGCTTCTCCGGGCCATAGAAGCCCAGGTTGCAGCACACGGCACAGCGGTGCAGCAGCCGCAGCAGCTGGGAAGTCTCGCCGGGGGTGAGGTGTGCCATGTCCATATGCGACGTGCCGTCAAAGTAGTCGGGCATGGTGGGGTCGTGCTTTGGGCGCGGGTTTGCGCGCGTCTTTGCGTTGTCTTGCTCCTCCTCCTCATCAGTGCCCCCAAGTGCCTGGTTGATCCACGTCTCTAGCTGGATGGCGTCACGCTGCACCTTGAGCGCCGTCGAGTACGCAGACGGCTCTTGCTCGTGTACCGCAAACGCGCCCTGGTTGAGAGTGAGTGAGTGTGTGAGTGAGTGTGTGAGTGAGTGAGTGAATGTGTGGAGTGAGTGAGTGAGTGAGTGGATGGAGTGCGTATGAGCGGAGTGTTTGCAACGCAGCGGTGACAACAACAGGACGCAGTGCACTACTGTTGAGCCACTGGGGCGAGCGCGCACTTTGTGGAATCTGCCGGCGAGCACGCGTTTTGTTTCAAAGTCGAGTCGCTCCAGCTTCAAGTGACCGCCCTGTGAGGGTGTGTGTGTGTGGGGGGGGGGGAGGGGATGGTGGGACAAAGTGCGTGTTGTGTTGATGTGTGAGCACTGGCGCCTGGTGTGGTGTTTGCTGCACATGCGAATACCTAAACGCGAACACATACACACACACATGCACACACATGCACACTCCACACACACACTCCACACACACACACACACGCACACACACTCCACACACACGCACGCGCATATTGACGCACGGTGCTTTGGAGGTCTGAGGTGGCTTGCTCGAGGGACGATGAGTGGATGGAGGATTCGTTGCGGCCCATGTTCATGAAGCAGCCGAGGCCGTGCGGCTTGCCCTTGCCAAAGTAGCCGGCGTAGGTGGAGCGGTTGTGGTTGTTGTACCGGTAGAGGCCAAGGCCACAGAACTGGCCGTGCCGCCACTCGCCGCTGTAGGCGTCCAGGGTGCCAAGAAACAGGCAGCGGCCAAACCCGTGTGGTCGATCCTGGTCGTCTCGCTCGCCCCAATACAGCACCTGGTCCTCCGCAGCAGGCGTTTTGTTTCCTGCGAGCTTGGCCTGGGCTTCATCGTACTTGAGCTGCGCCGTGGTCAGCTGCAGCGGCTCCTCCGCCACCCATGGCTCCAGTCGCTTCACCACCTCTGTGCCACATCGGCAGTGAAACACACAAAAAGGTACGCACCGCGCGGAGGCGTGTGCATGCAGAGCAAACGTTTGGGTATGAGTGGTCACGTCAGGGTATGAACATGCACAGACAACCACAAAGACATCGAGACATAGACAAACAGAGAGAGACACACAGACACAGAAACGCACACACACATACACATAAACAGCACTGACACACGAACCCACACAGAGACAGAAACACCACTGACCTCCTTCCTTGAACGTCATGGGCGTGTCTTCGCCCGAGCCACAGCAGCCAACATCATCAGCCATTGTTGTTGTTGGTTGGTTGGAGCACGACAGGAGGCAGGAGTGTGTGCACGATTGGATTACTACTTTTTGTGGTGTTTCGCACGCTTCTTCGAGTCGCGCCAGCACCCACGTGTTTTGTTTGTTGGAGCCGCACGTCACGACGCACGATGGAGCATCACAAGAAGCGACGCTACAATGACAAGGCCCGGCAGTCCTCGCAGAAGGACAAGAAGCCGGTTCGATGCTGCTTGCGAGTGCACGATTTGCGCACATGTGTTTGTGGTGTGCGCATGGCGTGTGTGCGGGAAGTGTGCGTAGTGCACATGGACACGGAACCCTGCTTGCCTTTGCCAGATCCTCATTCCTTGCCTTGCGTATGTGAACGAGTGCAGAAGGTGCAGCCACTGCTGAGTCGCCGCCAAGTCAAGATCTTGGAAAAGAAGCTTCAGCGAAAGTGCGTGCGTGTATGTGCGTGTATGTGCGCGCATGTGCTGTGTGATGTGTGTGGGGTGCCCCCACGTTTTTGACAGACACCCGCAGACACACCCGCACACACACACACACACACACACACAATACGCATCAAGACAAACACGCACCGCCACACGCAGCTACAGACACAGACACAGACACAGACACACACACACACAGACAGACAGACAGACACACGCAGACACACGCAGACACGCGCAGACACACAATACTAATAATTCATCGCACCCGCACCCGCACATTGATTGCCACAACAGGAAAAACATGCAAGAGCTGTCTGGGCTGCTGAAGGATGTTGCTGATCGCCGGTTGTCAGAGGACAAGTCACAGCAGCTGGCGGCAACAACACAGCTGTCCCAAGGACGCAAGGTGTTGCGGAAGGCCCGCCGGCAGCAGCGAGCAGAGGCGGCACGGCTGCGCAAACTTGCCGAGGCCGAACAAGAGAGCGAAGCGCAGCAGGAGCTTGATTTGGCGGCAACCGGCGGGATCGGCGAGTACAGGGATGCCGCTTCTGTTGCCGCGCTGATGCAGTCCGTCAAGCGCGAGGAGGCCAGCCACCACCATACCGAGGGCGATGGCGGGCACATGGATGAAGGCAACGACGACGATGCCGAGGACACAGACAGTGGCGACGACCACAACGACGATGAGGAGATGGCAGAGGAACTGGCACAGCTGGAGGCAGAGAGCGAAAGCAGAAAGGCACACAGCGGCGCTGCCGGTGCAGACAAGGACGTGTCATATGCAGAGGCGCTGGCAAAGGCGTGGGAAACGAGCGATGATGGGGACGCCACTGCAAGCGGCAGCAAGGGTAAAGAAGCAGCAGCAGCCGGTGCAACGAAGAAAGGAAGGCAAGCAGGCAAGGCTGGGGTCACCAGCGCAAGCCTTCCAGGGCTGACCCGGCGTGTTGTGTTGGTGCAACGCAAGCAAGCCATTGACGAGGTTCGCGCCAAACTGCCTGTTGTTGGGCAGGAGCAGGAGATTATGGAGGCCATCAACGAGAACAGCGTTGTTGTTGTCTGCGGCCCCACGGGTAGCGGCAAGACAACGCAGATTCCGCAGTTTCTGTACGAGGCAGGATACAACCAAGGGTGCGTTCGCTTCGAGAGTGAGGGGTGGGTTCGAGAGAGCGCTTGGGGTGGAAGGAAGACAGGGAGGGGTGGGGGATGGGGTTGATGTGTGTTGGGTGTGCGTGTGGGTGTGCTGATGAATCGTGCCTGCCATCACCACGTCGCTCCCTTGCTCATAACACGATGGGCAACCGTACTATATATATATATATATGTGTGTGTGTGTGTGTGTGTGTGTGTGTGTGTGTGTGTGTGTGTGTGTGTGTGTGTGTGTGTGTGTGTGTGTGTGTGTGTGTGTGTGTGTGTGTGTGTGTGTGTGCGTTGCAGGTATGGCGGGCAGCAGCTGCTGATTGGCGTGACGGAGCCCCGCCGTATTGCTGCCATCAGCGTCGCTGCGCGTGTGGCGGAGGAGCTTGCACTCACACCACGCGACGTCTCCTACCAGGTGCGGTGGCATGTGGTGGTGGTGGTGGTGGCATGTGGTGGTGATGGTGATGGTGATGGTGGTGTGGTGTGTGTGTGCCATGTGCACGTGTGTGCATGTATGTGCCTTTGTGTGCAAACGCGTTCACGGGCCATGTGCTTGCCATTTGCAACAGGTTCGCTACGAGAACACGCTGACGGCCCAGACGAAGATCAAGTTCATGACCGATGGTGTCTTGCAAAAGGTGCGCACTTGCCTGTACCCGCACCTGCATGTTGATAATGCGTGTATGTGACGTGGTGGTTGCATGGCTGACCAAAAGTGCCTTTCTTTGCTTCTGCACACGCACACATGAACTTCCCTGCACCCACTTCTCACAACTGCCCTTTCCGCAAACCCATCCCCATTACTATCACCACCATCACCACCAATCACCACCACCAATCACTACCAACTGTGCAGGAGATTGAGCAAGACTTTGCGCTGCGCAAGTACTCTGTGATTGTGATTGACGAAGCGCACGAGCGCTCCATGCACACGGACATTGTTATCGGTCTCCTCTCGCGCATCATCCCCCTCCGTGAACGCATGCACCGTGACTCGCTGGTCCGTTCGTGACAGCCTGGCATCCCGTGCTCGTGCTGTCGTGGCTTTGTTCTCGTGTTTTCGTGTTGTAGTGCAGTGTGGCTTTGTTCTCGTGTTCTCGTGTTCTCGTGTTGTAGTGTAGTGTGGCTGCGTTCTCGTGTTCTCGTGTTGTGGTGTAGTGTGGCTTTGTTCTCGTGTTCTCGTGTTGTGGTGTAGTGTGGCTTTGTTCTCGTGTTCTCGTGTTGTAGTGCAGTGTGGCTTTGTTCTCGTGTTCTCGTGTTGTAGTGTAGTGTGGCTTTGTTCTCGTGTTCTCGTGTTGTAGTGCAGTGTGGCTTTGTTCTCGTGTTCTCGTGTTGTAGTGCAGTGTGGCTTTGTTCTTGTGGTGCAACTGGTGATGCAACCCGTGGTATTCTTGTGTTGCGATTGTTGATTGTGCGCTCTGCACCACGCTCGCACGCTTTCATCTCACCACATCCTTCCACCCCTATCACTGCAACACACGCGTGCCTGTCTGCTTATGCCTTGTTTGCTTGTGTGTGCTTGTGTATGTGTGTGTACATGTGTGTACATGTGTGTACATGTGCTTGTGTATGTGTGTGTACATGTGTGTACATGTGTGTACATGTGCGTGTGTACATGTGTGTGTGTGTGCATGTGCAGAAACTGCACGGCGCCAAGTCTGATCAAGTCGTTGCCCCACTCAAGCTCGTCATCATGTCCGCCACCCTCCGCGTTGCCGGTTCGTCCTGAGGCGGTGGTGGTGGTGGTGGTGGTGGTGGTGGTGGTGGTGGTGGTGGCGGTGGTGGTGGTTGTGGTGGTTGTGGTTGCTGCTGCTGCTGTTGTGAACAGGTTTCCTCATTTTTGTTTTTTCACCGACTATCATCACCATCACGCATACCACCACCCTCGCCATCATTGCTGCTTTTCTGTGCCTGTGCAGACTTTACGCAGAATGCGCTGCTCTTCCCCAACATTCGCGTTCCCGTGCTCGAAGTTGATGCCCGCCAGTACAAGGTCACCACCCACTTCAGGTACACGCCACCAGCTGTGGCGTGGGGGCGAAGTTGTGCGTGCGTGCGTGCGTATGTGTGTGTGTGTGCGTGTGTGCGCACGCGCGCGCGTGTGTGTAGGCAATGTTGAGCACAGCTGGGGGGTGTTCTCGCATATTTTGTGATGCGCCATTGATGCATTCTTACACATTCCAATCATCTCGCTGCTGTTCTTCACGATCAGCAAACGCACGCGCGTGGACCAAGACCCCGTCACCTCCGTCACCAAAGCTGTACGTCTGGTGTTGTGTGCATGACAACTGCCACAGTTTGCACACACACACACACACACACAGGCACTTGAACACACACGCACACTAGCGCACGCACACACACATACACGCACACACACATACACACTCACATGCACACACTCACATGCACACTCACATGCACACACACTCACATGCACACACACTCACATGCACACACTCACACACATGAGCCGATCCTCACCACGTGTCCAAACATGCCCAACAATGGCTGCCCCCAACACGATGTTTTTTTTTTACACTTCAGGTGTCGCGTATCCACCGCCGCCTCCCACCAGGCGGCATTCTCGTCTTCATGACCGGACAGGTGCGCTGCCATCCCGGCCCTAGTGTCTTGAGTGTGGTCGCGGTCGTCGTTGTGATTGTCGACCATGACCGTTAAGCTCGCGATTGCTGTGTGGTGCATCTCTCATGTACACGCTTTGTCAACATACACGCACCCACACACACACGCACTCACACTCACACACACGTGTGTGTACTTGTCGAACGATGCAGGCTGAGATTTTGCAGACGTGCCGCAAGCTGCGGGAAATGTTCCCAGCGTCACTCGCGAAGAAGAAGGAGGAGAAGGAGAAGGAAGCAGCAGCAGCAGCAGCAGCAGGCGAGCAAGGAGGGGTGCAGGGCAGGAAGAAGAAAGGAGGAAAGAAGAAGGGGAAACAAGGTGATGTTGTGGTGAAGGAGGAGGAGCCGGAGGACCTTCAAGAGCCGCAAGACGCATCAGCGAAAGCCATGGACACGGGCGCAAACGAGACGGCGAACGACAATGACAATGACAACGACAACGACAATGATGGCGATGGGGCCGTGGATGAGAGCCAGCTTGCTCGGAACGAGGACGAGTTTGAGGTTGAGGGGGAGGACACCGACATTGATGCGAGCGACGACGAAGCCGACGATTACGAGCACAGTGAGGACGATGATGATGATGGGGATGGTGGTGGCAGTGGTGTAGGGCCAACTGCGCGCGGCGTGGGTGCGGTGAAACAAAGCAAACCCTTTACGCAGCTGGCAGAAGATGAGCCCCTGTATGTCCTGCCGCTCTTCTCAAACCTCTCAAAGAAGGCCCAAGCAAAGGTGGGAATGTGCCTGCGATTGTGTGCTGCGTAGCTGCTGTGTGATGTGGTGTTGGATGTTGTATGGTGTACGCGGCATGTGTGTGTGTGTGTGTGTGTGTCTGTGCGTGCGCATTTCGTTATGATTGTTCTTCTCAACCTCGTGTTGGGTCATCTCTGCTTCTCAGGTGTTCCAACGAGCACCAAAAGGGTTCAGGCTGTGTGTTATCGCAACAAACGTGGCAGAGACATCCATCACCATTCCTGGAATGACATACGTTCTCGACACGGGTCTTGTACGTTGGCACACGCTCTTGTTTTGCTTCCACACAAACACACACACACACACACGCATACACAAACACAAACACACACATACACACAAACACATACACACAAACACATACACACAAACACATACACACAAACACATACACACAAACACACATACGCACAAACACAAACACACACACGGCGTGAGAGAGTTGGCGAGGGCGCCCTCCGCTCGCTCAATCCAGTCAAGACACGAACCTGCTCACAATTGTCGTCATTGCGTGCATGTGTGTGTGTGTGTGTTCAGGTGAAGAAAGCGCTGTACGATCCCATGACGGGCGCAACGTCGTTCAAGGTCGACTGGACTTCGAAGGCATCGGTGCGTTTGCTAATTGCACACCAGGCACCTCATTGTTCGTGCTTGCTTGCTTCAACATGCTGCATCCATCTGGGTTTGTTTTGTGCACGTGTGCGCGTTTATGGTGTATGTGTGTGTGCATGCGTCGCGCACTGCAACCACGAACACGGTCGCTTGGCCATACTCTTCAACCTCAACCAACAACGCCTCCCCCAACCCTAAACGCCATGTGCCACGCGGTACCTGCAGGCAAAGCAGCGAGCTGGTCGTGCTGGTCGTACGGGCCCTGGCCACTGCTATCGCCTCTACTCCTCCGCTGTGTTCAACGACTTTTTCGCCGAGCACAGGTGCGTGCGTGCGTGCGTGTGCGTACGTGTTTGTGTGTGTTTGTGTGTGTTTGTGTGTGTTTGTGTGTGTTTGTGTGTGTTTGTGTGTTTGTGTGTTGTGTGTTTGTGTGTTTGTGTGTTTGTGTGTTTGTGTGTTTTGTGCGTGTGATGTGTGATGTGTGCGTGTGATGTGTGCGTGTGATGTGTGCGTGTGATGTGTGCGTGTGATGTGTGTGTGATGTGAATGTGGTGATAGAAGCGACAATTCTGTCGTGTGTGTGCGTTTGCACGTGGTCTCGTTCACTCACAGCAGCGCAATGCCCTGCAATTCCGTCCAAAGTGAGCCCGAGATTTGCAAACTGCCGGCAGACGGGCTCATTCTGCAGATGAAGGCAATGGGGATTGACAAGGTGATCAACTTTCCCTTTCCAACGCCGCCTAGCAGAGCTTCGCTCAAGGTGGGTAGGGCGTGCGTAGTTTTGTTGTTGTATGTGTCGTTGCTTTGTGTGGTGTCGGTCCCATTCGTTCAAAACTGCATTTCAACCTGACCGCGCTCTTTCTTCTGCTCACACGCATACACTGCCTCTTTCCTACATTCTCTTTTACTTCTCGTCTCTCTCGGTCTCTTTTTCACACCCACCCCCCCACACACACTCACCTCCGCACCCCGCCCTACATATCACCATGCAATGCGTTCACAATTGTGGGTAGAATGGTGAGCAAACGCTGCGAAAGCTCAATGCCCTCGACACAAAGGGATTCATCACCAACATTGGCCGCGCAATCTCAAAGTGAGTGCTTGGAGCAGTGGCGTGACTGGGTACTGTGTAGTGCGGTGACGGGCGTGTGGCGTGTTGTGTTCAATCGTGTACACTGTCCTTGTTTGCCGCTGTGATGGGTGTTTGGTTGTTGCTCATGCTGTTGTCTAGTTTTCGACTGGTGCTTGAATCGCCACATTCGCTCCTTTCACCACAAACCAACTTACTCGCTCAACCAACCACCCATCCAACTCACTCCATCCAATCAACCACCTCAACTGCTCAGGTACCCGGTTGCGCCGCGTTACGGCAAGATGCTCGCTCTGGCCAAGCATTATGGCTGCATGGAACTCGCTGTCGCCATTGTTGCCGCTCTCACTGTCCAGGTGTGTGTGTGTGTGCATACGTGTGTGTGCGTGCGTGCGTGTGTGCGTGCATTTGTGCACGTGTGTGTGCCTATGTGTATTGGGGAGGACCTGTGGATGCAAGTCAAGGTATGGACTGCAAGCTTCTTGGGCTGGACTGTGCATGCACTCACGACCAATCTCACAATTCCACACGATACAACACACGCACACACACATATTCATCACCAATCGTGATTAGAATCTGCTGCACACGCAAGACGTTGAGCTCCCTGGGCCAGAGGAGGAGAAAACATCCGATGACTCAGCAGCCGCGAAAAAGCAGCAGAAGAAGGAAACGCCCCCACCGCTGGTGAAGGTCTCAAACTCGCAGTGGAAAACCATCGGTCGGCAGGTTCGTTGCTGGCGTGTTGATGCGTGATGTGACATCAAGTGTTGCACAGGCATGCGTGTCATCGTGTTGTGACGGCAGGAGTGAAGCAAGGGTGTGTGATTGGTGGTTGCAGTCGTGTCTCACAGTCGTGGTCGCGCGTGTCTGGACTGATTTGATTGTCACTGTGCAGAAGGACACGGACTTTGCCGTCTTGCTGGCGGTCTTGGGCGCCTGCGATTTTGGTACGCTTGTGGAGATCGAGGGGCATGCAAGCACACAATCTAGCAGACATCAAACCCACCACTGTTTAGCAGACAATGAACGTATCTTTCACGTGCATACTTGTACTTTCACGTGCATACTTGTACATGCACGTACATGCACGTACATGAACACACACACACACATGCACACTAACGGCGTTCTTGTTGTCGTTGGCGATGTGCAGAAATCAAACGAGGCCACGATCTGGAGGAGTTTTGTGCGCGTATGCATGTGCGCAGCAAAGCCATCACGGAAACACGCAAGCTGAGGCAACAACTGATGGCACTTGGCGGTGAGCTTATACTCCTGACTGGCCACTCTTGCTTCTCTTCTCTCCGTCTCTCTCTCTCTCTCTCGTTTCAGGCCTTGCATTCGCTTGCTCAACAATTCCAACTGTGACCCATACCGTACTCAACCTTCCTTTGCTCACCACACCCACCCTTCCATAAATATGTGCGGGTGCATATATATATATATATATGTATGTGGTTGTGTGTGTGTATGTGGTTGTGTGGATGTGCGTGTTGTATGTATGTGTGTGTGTCTTCTTGTGCATATGCAGAGTCGTCGAGCATGGATGCGTCTGAGAAGACGGATATCGACGTTGGCAAATCGCAGCCGCTCGAAGCGCTCCCAGTCCCGGACAACAGCGTGCTGACACAGATCAGGCAGATCACGCTGGCTGCGTTCCCCGATCACGTGGCGCGACGCGAAGTTGCCGGGACAGCAACACGCTCTGCCGCTTACCGCTGCACTGCCGTGCAAGGCCTCGTGTACATCCACCCGTCGTCCGCGCTGTACGGAACGAACAACGAATTTGTCGTCTTCCACAACTTGATGGAGTCCAAAGGGCGCCATTTCATGAAGGGTGAGAGCGCAGTGCTGGTCGTTGTCGTCGTTGGTCAAGTTGTTATTGTTGTTGCTGTGGTGGTGATCAATGTTATCGGTTGTTGCAATGGTGGTGGGGACATCAATGCGAAGGAGGAAGGGTAACTGTTGGAGGTGGCGTCGAGAGCGTCGTCGTGTGTGTCTGTCGAACACTCGAACTGGTCATTGCTGCTTTTGGTCCAACAACTTCTGAGTTCACGTTGCCATCGTCTTCACTCGTTGTTCTCCGTCTGTGCATCAATCATGGCAGATGTGACAGTGATCTCGCGTGTGTGGATCCCGAAGCTTGCGCCAGTGTGCTGCAACTACTCAAAGCCGCTCGAGGACCCGTCCCCGCGCTACGACCCGAAGGTGCCCACCTGCCACTTGTTGGGAGAAGCGTCGCACACACACGCACCACAGCATGTGCACACGTGCCTCGCAAAAGTGTGATAAAGCATCCTCCCTCCCACTTTACTCCGCTCTTCTCAGCCTTACGCCCCCCACCGCCCTCTTTACACCGCTCACATCTCTTCCGCCTTACTCGTCTCCTTCTCACACCTCACGCGTACTGCTCGCCTCGTATTGGTTTGCAGGCGGATGACATGCGCTGCTACGTGACGGCGACATACGGCACACACGAGTGGCCGCTACCCGTGCAGGAGGTCTCGTTCCCGCAGTCGCCCGAGCGATACAAACACTTTGCAAAGGCCTTCCTTGCTGGCCAGGTTCGTGCTGGTGTTGGAGTGAGTGAGTGAGGAAAGTGTGTTGAGTGAGTGAGTGAGGAAAGTGTGTTTAGTGAGTGTGTGAGGAAAGTCTGTTTAGTGTGTGTGTGAAGAAAGTGTGTTGAGTGTGTGAGGAAAGTGTGTCTTGTGTGTGTGTGTGTGAGGAAAGTGTGTTGAGTGTGTGTGTGTGAGGAAAGTGTGTTTAGTGTGTGCGTGTGTGTAAGTGTGCGAGTGTGTGCGTGAACCGATTTGGAGTGCACACACGTCGGTTGCAGCTCACGTGTGCATGAATGACTCTCCACTGTGATGCATTCAGGTGGTTGAGAAGCTGAAGGAGTTCACACCCAAACTTCTGAACCGCCCAGACATCATGTGCAAGAGCTGGACAAAGGTGTGTGTATAGCTGAGGCATGGTGCTCGTGCACTCCAGAGACTACCGAAATACACGCACAGGCAAACGCCACACACTGCACACAACATATTACAGACATCACATTGCACACATCACACACACACACACACTGCAACACCCACTGCACGTAAACGCGCTCACCTCTTTTCCGTTTGTTACTGCGGGTTCAGGAGCGTGTGACGCGATTGCTGTCGGCTCTGATGAACGCAAAGGTCTCAACGCGACGTGAGCTGCTCGCAGCGTTTGCCAAGGATCCAAAATGTGAGTTCATCTCACGCACTTGTGTGCTGATACGTGTCATGCGCGCGCGCGTGTGTGTACGTGAGTGCTTCTTTGTGTCTTTGAAGCTGAGCTGTTCCTGAGCCCTTGAATATGCGTCCGTGGCACACCCAACTCACATTCCTACTCGTCATCATGGTTTGGATGCGCGCGCTTGTGTGTGTGTGTGTGTGTGTGTGTGTATGTGTATGTGTGTGTGTGTGCGTGTGCGTGTGTGTGTGTGTGTGTATGTGTGTGTGTGTATGTGTGTGTGTGTGTGCGCGCGCGCTTTTGCTTGCAGTTCTGTTGCGGGAGTATGCTGCGTGGCTGGACAGCGAAGAGCACGACGTGTTGAAGGCAATTTGGCCTCCAAAGGCGTAATGGTGATGTCGATGACGATGATGGTGATGATGATAGCGGCGGCGGCGGTGGTGGTGTGGTGATTGCAGGGCTTTGCTGTTGCGGGCATGTGCACGTGTATGTGTGATTTGACATTTTGGCCGAAGAGAATTTAGTGTTGTGGCTGTGAGTAAACAATGTATTGGTGATTGAAATTGAAAAGCGCAAGGCCGCACTGGAGTAACCGGTAGTGGTTCACATATGATGTCACAACAGATGAGGTAGATGCGGAGACGATCCAGCACATGCGCTGAAAGACAAAAAGTGAAGCACAACATGACGAGCACCAGAACGAATGCGAAACACGACCCAAAGAACACAAGCAAACAAACGAGCAACGCACACAACAAGCAAAGCAAACAACAAGCAAGCGACAAAGAAAGGCACACACACATGCAAACACACACATGCAAACACACACATACAAACATACACACATTCATGCAAACACACACACACACACACACACACACACACACACACACACACACACACACACACACACGGGGAGTTGCGTGCGCGCGCGTGTGTGTTCAGACAGACGGGAACTTTTCGACAACGACTTCGTCCCCGTGAAGAGAGACGGAGAAGCGGAGAGTAGGCGCAACGCCGTCGGAGACCACGAGGCGGTACGAGCCAGGCGTGGACACGACGTTGCCTGTGACAGGGTCAACCATGTTGAACACATCGGCGGAGAGCGGGATGGTGACGCCCAAACGCTGGTTCGGTGTGAGGTGCACGCGCTCAAAGGCAATCAGCTGCTTCTTCAGCGAGAAACTGCGGTGTGGGAGTGAGACGGGTGCCATGTACACCTGCACAACTGTGTCGCCTGTCCGCTTGCCTGTGTTGACAACATGCACGGGCAGAGAGAAGGATGTGTTGCTGCCGGTGGCAAAGGTGGATGCGCTTGGCCCAGGGCTCTGAACACTGAACGTCGTGTACGCCAGGCCAAACCCAAATGGCCTGAGGGGTGGACGTGATGGGTGATGTGGGGCAAGGGGAGGGGAGTGTAGATTTACAGTGAGTTTGAGAAGGCGGTCCTCATGAAGGTAGGGGGCTGGGAATGTTGTGAAACCAGTGACAAAAGCATTCATCACACAGACACACACAGACACACAGACACAGACACACACAGACACACACACACACACACACACACGGCGCCAAAGCTGACCAGAGGGGCTGCCCGGTGTAGTAGCGGTACGAGCGGCCTGGACTGTTCGTCATCTCCATGTCAGACATGTTAATCTTGTGGATGTAGTCTGCAGGGTACACGGTGTAGGGCAGCTTCCCACCGAGGTGATTGTTGTCTCCGAAGATGGTTTTGGCAATGGCGGCGCCGCCATAGAAACCGGGGTAACCCGCTGATGACGCAGACATGCGGCATGGTGCACAGAGCACGAGGGGAAGGGGGGGGGGTTACCCGGCACAGGCAATTGAGGCAGGGACGTAAGCAAATGACACAAACACAGACACAGACACAGACACAGACACACAGACACACACACAGACACACAGACACGACACAAACACAGACACAGACACAGACACAGACACACAGACACACACACAGACACACAGACACACAGACACACAGACACACACACAAGCACGCACATACAGGCACAAAAGCGCGCACCTTCGATGATTGCTGGGAGTTGCTTCTTCTCCTGTTCGATTGCAAGCATTCCACCGTTGATGAGAACAGCAGCAGTAGTTTTGTTGAGGTGCGCAATGGCTGCCGTCAGCTTGTGCTGGCACTGCGGAAGGTCAATGCTTGTTCTGTCGTTGCTCTCTGCCTCAATTGTGTCGTTGATGCCAATGAGCAGAACCTGATGGAAGGCGATTGGGTGGGTGAACCACTAGAACGACTGCATGAACGTACAAACATGAAGCATACAAGGACCTCATCCACACTCACTAAAACAACGTGCAGGGACAACGCGCCACAATCAACACACACACACACACACACACACACGCACCACGTAGTCGGCATCCTTTGCGACATTGACGGCCTCCTGAATGGACGCATCCGTGCATGCAAGCACGCCACTGCCCTACAAGTATTGAAGCACGTTGGTACACGCATATGTGTGCGTGCGTGTGTGTGATACTTGAGGACCATGGCAAGCGGAGTATTCAATGGCGTTGTCGCAGAAATGTTGTGTGCTGATTCTGATGATGATGTGTCGTATTGTCAGCCAGCTTGCAGACACACACACAGACACACAGATAACACACACACACACACACACACACACACACACACACACACACACACACACACACACACACACACAGACACACGCAGACACACACACACGCACACGTATGCGCACCATTGCTGAGACGGTGTTGCTCATGCCATTGATGGCTTCAATCGCGGCGAGGGGAGACGTGATGCAATCAAATGAGTCGTCCGGGCACAGCTGCCCAAGGTAGTTTCCAACGAGCGCCTCCTGTGCATTGATGTGGGGTCCAATCACAGCAACCTTGCGGCCTAACGACGGAACAGAAACATGGGGAGATGGAAGGGTGATGAGCCTTGTGGGAAGAAGAGAAAGGAGTGGAATGAGCGAGGCAAAGGTAAGTTGCAATGCACGTCCATTCAGCCAACACAAATACGGCATCAAGTAGCAGCGGCCACCAACAGACAGACAGACAGACAGACAGACAGACAGACAGACAGACAGACAGACAGACACACACACACACACACACACACACACAGACCTTTCTTGAATGGGAGGGCGTTGTTGTGGTTTTGAAGGAGGATCATGGACTCGAGGGTGATCTTCATGTTGAGGTCTTGTGCATATGTTGTGTTGATGGAGGACGCGTTGATGCGCCAGTAGGGCTGGTCCTCAATGGGATCAAACAGCCCAAGTTCAAACCGCAGCTTCAGCGTGTTGTAGAGCGCCCTGTCCACGTCGTCCATGCTGCATTCGCTGCTCATTGCCATTCGCAAGGTTGCACAGGGTATGGCGAGGCACATGAACTAGTGGCTGGAGAAGGGAAGGGGTAGGGAGGAGGGCAAAGGTTGCACAGAGCACACAGGCACACAGACACGAAGACACAGACACGCAGACACGCAGACAGAAAGACAAACACAGACACAGACACAGACACAGATACACACACACCCACACGCACGCACACACACAGACACCGCACAGACGGACAGACAGACAGACAGTCACACACACACACACACAGAGCACGCGCGAGTGCATGTGTACCCGCTGTTGACAGCGTCGAGGAGAGCGTCATGGTAGACGGCGCCACTGTCCATATCGCACCGGCCATCGCGAAGAGCAGCAGCAACAGCAGCGCTCGCGTTGGCCGTGTAGTGGTGCTTTGCATAGATGTCTTCAATAGCGCCCGTGTCCGAGGTCACGTACCCGTCAAACTGAACGGCACGAGCGTCGGGGTAAGGGGCTGGTTGGTGAGCGGGTGGTCAGTGGCGCACTCGTGTGCTGTATAACAACATATATGAATGTGTGCGATTGAGAGGTACACCACCCAGAGGCCACCTCACGACAACACCAGCATCGATAAGCATCCTCCCACCCGTGATCACCGAGCTCAGGCATCGCATCACCTTCCAAATGTCGCGCAGAACTTTTGTCAGCAGCGGATGTGTACACGTGGGGCGGCCGTTGAGGGCGTTGTAGCTGTTGGCGGTGGTGATGGTGATCAGAGTCGCGCGATGATGGGAATGGGGTGAGGGGGTGAGGTGAGTACATCGTGGAGAGGTGGTGGATGATGAGGGTGGTGTTGATGACGTGCAAGATGGGACGGGGACGGCGGTTGGTGTTCAGAGCAACCACAACGTGTGAGCAGCTATGAGGTGTGCGTGAATGAGATGGGAAGGTACACATACCACATGCATGCATGCACATTAAATGCTGCGTCTCACCTGCACATGACGCCTTTGGCGTTTCCTTCCATGACAGCCTTCCTGAAAGCCGGCCAGTACGTGTCCTGAACACAAGAAAATGAGACACACGCACATGTGAGCACACACTCAAGCATAACCAGTGTACTCCAGCAATTGCATACTTGCCAAACACATGCACACACACGCACACACACACACACACACGCACACACACCATCAGAGCAAAGTTTGAGACTTTTGCGTCAAAGTTGTGGCGGGTGAAGCCATCACTGTCCTCAAGACTGTATGCGTCCCAGTGCTAAACCCAAAGACGTCACGCACACACACACACACATACATTTCCACGAAGGTGCCACAGCTGTGAGTTTTGAAGAGGCGTGTTGTGTGTGGTGTGTGTAGGTGCGTGTCGAAGTGTAATCTGCTTTGCTTCTTCGAAAGGTTGCTTGCAAGCATGGAAGAGTGCTCGGAGGCTCACACCTTGAGCGTGACAACAACTTTGGTGTAGCGGCTGTCCTCGCCTTGCTGCAGACCCATCGTGTACAGCTGTTGGGAGCACAGCCAGCGAAGAGCGGTGAGGAGGGAGGAGGCGGTGTGTTGATGACAAGGATCGGGCAGGCGCAAGCAAGAGCACACACAGAAGCAAAGGTGTTCTCAATCACAAGCACTCACACACACACACACACACACACACAAACAAACAAGCAAACAGAGGGACAGAAGGACAAGACACACAGACGCAGACACACACAGACACAGACACAAATACAGACACACACACACACAGACACACACACACGAACACCAGCAACAGCAGACAGTCCCGCGTACGCACTTTGCCAAACTCGCCGTTGAGGAGCGGGTCCTCGGAGGGCACTTCCTGGTTGCGGCCCCAGCGTGGGTCTCGGTTGATGTTGATGTTGGGGCTCCTGACATGACGGGGGCGGCAGGATAGCATGCGAGTGAGAGGCTGGAGGTGAGGCGAAATTGGTGCATGACAGCACACACACACACATACACAGACAGACAGACACATGCTCACATACACAAACACACACACACACACACACACTACACACACACACACACACACACACACACACACACTACACACACACACACACACACACACACACACACACACACACACACACACACACACA